TAGTTGTTCCCGCCCACCGCTGCGCACCAGGGAGTCGGAGGAGGCAGCCTACGCGGAAGTCAGTCGCTCCTCCGGGCCATCGTCCGGCTCTGGGATCTGGGTTAGGCTAGTCTAGCCTAGAGAGTCCGCCAGCAGCGTCACTCAGGCCAGGCACTTTTCTCCAATCCCGTCCGAGAGGGGAATGGCGCCCAGAGAGATCTCCGCCAGAGTCAAACTGTGGTGGGGGGTCAGATTCTCACTCACCTCGCCACCAGTCAGTTTTCGTGTACACCTCTGTCCGTCCTTTTTTTTTTCGACTCCGTTCTCCCGTTCCCAGAGCTCGGCGCTCCCAGAGCTCGGCGCGTCTCTCCTTGCTGAGCCGCTGTGGAGATAGCCGGCCGCCGCACGGCGGGAAATCCAAACCGGTTTCCGATGGCGCGGAGTCGAGCCTCCACACCGAGATTTTTCTGTTCCTATTTTAGCGCCAGGACTGTATTCCAAGTTGGATTCTCTCAGCCCAGTTCGTTCCTGAGTCAGCAGAGCATATCTCTACTGATTCGTGTCTCCCTAGTCCGCATTATTTCTGGCCTCTGAGCCGAACCTTTCAGAGAGCCTCTGGTAGTTGCTGTTGTCTGTCCGCCATGTTCTCTGGTCTCCGAGGTGGTTAGTTTTGCTTTATCTTTTAACCTTCTTATTAATGATGTAAGTGATTTACCCCCACCTTTCCTGTTTTACTGTATTTTGCATCTGACAAGTGACGTTTATACTTTCGCGTTACTCATTATCAGTATTATTATCTTTCAGATTAAGGTTCTCCTTTAGTATTTCCTGTAAAGCAGGTCTGGTGGTGACGATCTCTCCCAGGTTTTGTTTGCATGGGAAAATCTTTATCTCCCACTTCTTATTTAATTATTTCTTATATTTTTCTTGAGACAAGGTCTTGCTTTGTAGTGCAGGCTGGCCTTGAACTCATGATGGTCCTCCTGCCTCAGCCTCCCCAGTCCTGGGATTACAGGCATGTGCCACCATGCCTGGCTAGCTCTCATTTCTGAGGCCCAGTGTTCCTGGTCAGCAGAGTTTTGTACCACTCAGTGCCTGTTGGCCTGTGAGAATTTCTCCTGAGAAATCTTCCGTGGGGCATGTTGGACCTCCTTTGTGTGCTGTTTGTTTCTCTGTTTCGGTCTGTTTTCAGGATTTTATTTGTCTGTTGGATTATACAGATTCTTGAGTAGTTTTGTTTGGAGCAAATCTAATTTGTGACCTTTGATCTCTGTACCTGGGTATTTGTATATATTTCCAGGACTGGAAATTCTTCTTCTCTTACTTCTTTATGCTTCTACCCCTTCCCCTTTGTCTACTCCTGCTTTGAGACTGAGTAACCCAAAACGGTGCTCTTTTGATGCTGTTGCATTAAGTTTCATGAGGTGTCTTCTGTTTTCCGTTCTCTTTTCTTTTTCACCTTGACTCACATGTCAGTGGCTGTTCTTGAGTCCTACACTCCTCAGCTTTGTTCATTCGGTTCTTGGTGCTCTGTGTGTTTCCTTTTTCATTTTATCTACTCTATTTTCAGTCCCATTATTATTATTTCAGTTCCCATTAATTTTATTTTTCTGGTTGCTTTGTTTCCTTGTTTCTTTGAGTTTTCCTCTGTAGACCTGGAAGGTTGCCACGCTATTCTGGAATTCTCTGGCAAGGACCTGGTTCAGCTCCATCGCTGGAGAATCAGTCCCCGTGCTTAACTTCGTGCCCTCTGCGATGTCCTGGTTCTCTGCTTGCTTTGGCCCAGGTGCCGTGTGCTGATGTTTGTGTGTTGGAGAAATGTGTATCCACATCAGCCTTGTCTGGGAGCCTTCTGTGTGGTCCCTCTATGTGTGACCCCTGCCACAGGGGCTGCAGCCTAGGCCTGCAGCAGTGCCCAGTGCCGGGCAGGGGTTTCCTGGCCACCAGGGCTAACACAGGATGGGATGTCCCTGCCAGCCAGTGGCCACTGAGGCTCCCTGGCCTCTGGGGTTTGTCTGAAGCCAGGACTCCTGTGGTGGGTCAGCTGCTGCGAGGCCCCTTGTACAGATGTGGCTTCCTGGCTGGCACCAGGGCAGGTGGGGAGGCTCAGTCTGTAGGCCTGGTATCTGCCTGGTGCTGGGGACCAAGGTGAAGCTTGGCTCTTTCCTCTCTTCCCCGAGAGATGGTATCTGTCTCCATGCTGTGCTTCCTGGGGTCCTAAACCTGGTGCAGACTGCGTGGAACTGTCCTGCCTCCGCCTCCCGTGTGTCTGCACCTGCTTTCCTTAGCACTTGGGACGATTTTTACCAAATCTTTGCAGATTTGTCCCAACTGGTGTTTCTGCAGGGTGAGCATCCGGAAGAGGCCTCTCCCCTGCGCTTCCCTCATGCGTAACTTTTGGGGACGTGGTTCCCACTGGTCTCTCATCATGTTCTGGTGAGACTCTGACTTTTAAAAAAAACTTGAATCATCTCATTTAGTTCTGAAGTTTCAGCATCCAGGTCAGGGTGTCTCCAACAAAACCCATTTTGTCTGGTGACTGTCACCCGGTGTCGGCCAGCTCTGGGCGCCTGTCTTGCAGCTTCGGGGTACAGGTGCCCTTCATGCATCCCTGCAGGTCTCCCTTGTCACACTGTCCCTTCTCATTGTGGCCATCTTGGTCCTTACAGGAAACACCCAGGACAGCTCTGCTCACAGAGATGTCAAAAAGCCACGTTAGTGGGGTTATCAGGAGCAGTAACTCAACTCTTTTGTATTCTTCAGCTAACTGTGTTGTGTGCATTTACGAGAACCACATACTAGCTTTTCGATTCTCCAATTTTTACTAGGTTCTATTTAGTTCCGTTTTGGCTTCTTTTTTTTGTCTTTTTCCTTTTTATCGGTACCGGGGATCAAACTCATGACTGCCTGCTTGCAAGGCAGGCGCTCATGTCGCTGAGCTAAATCCCCAGCCCCTGTTTTGGCTCTTTGAAAGGGTCATGATTCGATCAAGCCTTGTGAATCAAACAAGACCCTGGGATGTTGGTGTCTGCTGTTGGGGAGTCGTTCCAAAGGAAAAAAACATCATTTGCAAAGGGAATGTGCAAACAAAATTTGTCTCTTAATAACGCTGTTTCAATTGCTGCTGTGTTTGTGAAGTTCGTTATTACTCTTTTGGTTTCAGTACTTGAGGATGTCAAGCTAATTTCAATTCTGCTCACTGAATCGTCCCTGGGCAGTGAGAAAAAACCAATGCTTTTCATTAGTGGTGCTGCATATTCATATTTTTAAAAAACTAAAACACAATTCTATTTTTATAGACGCTCTGATTTCAGAAGCATATGCTAGAGGGATGGAAGGCACAGAAACACCAAACATGAGGATTTGTTTTTGTGGGGTTATAAAACCTAATTGTTATTGTTGTGAAAAATTTTTCATTTTTATTTTTATTAGCCTGTATTTGCAGGACATAATGAGACCCTCATTGTAAGGAGGTGGTACATGGGCAGCGCCACCTCTCTGCTCTTTCTATCTCCTGCCCTCTGCCTGCCCTCTGTCTCTTGGTCTCCTCCCCTTCTGAAAAGGATGTATCTGTGCATATTTATATTAATTTGCATTTGTAGAAAGGGTTAGAAACGGAGTTATTATGAACATTATTACTTATTACTTAAGTATTCTTACTTGCATTGGTTTTTTTAAATTAAAGATGTTTCTGAGCTGGGCCTGTTGGTGCACGCCCACAGTCCCCATACCCTGGGGGCCCAGGCAAGAAGGGCTGGGGCCGGAGCTGCGAGGGAAGGCCTGGGCTTAATCCCTGGGACTGGAAGAATCATGAATTACTTTTTAAACATTTCTGCTTTCTTTTATTTTAATAGGCTTTGCTTTAGTTTAATCAGGGTTCACTCTAGGGCACTCTGTTGCTTTTGACAGACTCACGCAGGATCTCACAGGTCCTTGCAGAGTAATGGCAGGGTTGTATGTGGTACCGTCGGTGCCCCTGGACTGCCCCCAGCACAGCTGCTAATCTTTTAACAGTTTTGCTTTACCCAGAGTGCCAGAGTCAAAATCACGCAGTTTGCAGCCTGTTCGGATTGACTTTTTTTCTTGTGCATTTAAGTGTCCTCTCTGTCTTTTCATACTCTTTTCTTTTTGGAACTGAATAATTCTCTGTCTCAAAGTTCTGCAGTTAACTTACCCTTTCATGAACAGCAGGACATCTTGGTTAGTTCTGTTTTCTTACGTGTTTACCTTTCCCATAATTCCTCAAAATGCCCATCCTGTACAAATCCATACAAAATCCTCTACATTTGTGTGTATATAGGGCAACAAAGTAGTTGGGTTCTACGTAAAAATAGATCATAAAGCATTAATGGCTTTATCTTCAAGCAGTTATTTAGGGTTATCCTTAATGTTGGAGGGTTTTGTTTTGGACAGCGCTATAAAAGTGTTCATGGTCTTTTGTCTGAAAAGTGATAATCCCCAGCTGAAGCTCCCTGGAAAGAGCTGGTGGGCACCATTTCCGGGAGTGCATTCATACGATGCCACATGTCTAGAGGAGACAGCCCAGCTGTCTCACATCACAGATGGTCCAGAGCCTCTCGAATCTCACAGTGAAGGCGCTGCTCACATCTGCTGCTGCTGTCTGTGAGAAACTTTAAGGAAGTTCTTTCATACTCATTTATAGAAATGCACATGCAGATATTACTCATTTATGCCAGAAGGTAGAATAAGTTTGTTACTCAAAAGGCAACTAAAATATTTAATGTTAGTTTCTTTCATGAAAATATAGATAAAAGGCATTAGATAAATGAGGAAAAATGAAGCACAAATCTCCAGAGCAAGGGGCCCAAGAGTGCAGTCAGTTCAGGAAATAAACGAGGCTCTCGGAAAAACACCCTCACGCCCAGCCCAGAGATGGAGCTCTTGGAAAGTCAGATGGTTATTACCGCACACTGCATGGCTGGATTCACACACTTTTCTACTTCCGTGTATCAGGCAAAGCGATCACTTGTTTTGTGCGTGTCTTTTCCATGCCTTACCAGAATTTCTTTATGCAATGGCCGCATTCAACCTGGCGTATCCGATCACTCCCTGGAGATTTAAATTATCTTGCCTGCCAGATAAAATGGATGATTCCTCCCTCTTGCCCACTGGAATCTCAAACAACGATTCAGGTCTGAGTGGCGAGAATGAAGCAGCACTTGAAGCCAGATTTAACTCAAGCGGCACTGACATTGCTGACTTATCCCAGGCAACCTTCCACTGTTGCTTTTGGAGTGAGCAAGATAAAAACTGTACCGTGCGTGTGGACCGCCCTGAAGGGGAGGCCCTTGTGTCCACAGCGGATTTTTCTGCTTTCCAGCAGCCAGGTAAGTACTTCAGTGTTCTAAAACAGTAACCGTTAAGTTTTAACTAGGTTGATCGAAGTGCTTTGATTTCTGAAATACATGAATAGATGCCTTATGGACACGATTATTAACATATATTGTCATTTTAATATCAATAATAAAATGAGGACTCATGATGTGACAGCCGTTAATAATAAGCCCCTAGCATTTAAGATTCCATAGAATGTAGAAAGAGAACTCTCTTTGCTTTCAGAAAAACTAAAGCTTGAGATTCCACTTGTCCTGCTCTTCCCTCTCTAGATGTCTTCCTGAAAGAGGTACAGGGATCCCCACTTAAGGGATCCACGTGTACCCGTGTCATTAGCAGCAGAATTCCTAAGAGCTGAGTCTCGGAAGCAGTCTGTACATCCATCAACAGACGGATGGATAAAGAATGGATAATGAACTGTATTCGCACACAGTGGAGAACTTCTCTGCCATAAAAACTGATACACTTGAGTCACATGTAGGAAAGTGGGAGCACCTTGAGGCCTTGGTGTTAAGTGAAGTAAATCAGACACACAGGTTTAAATATGGGGAATCCAAAATATAAAGAGAGAACAAAATAAAAGGTAGGAGCAAGTAGACGATAGGTCTTTCTCAGTCAGGAGGGGGATTAAGAGTAGGAGGGAAAGGGGGGAGGGTCGGAGGGGACAGGAGTGAGAATGGGGTTAAGATGTGTGAGGTCCACATACCGGCTCCTCACAGGGAGTGTAGCCGTTTTGCATCGCAAGCATGGACTGATAAAAATAAAAATTAGACAATAAGAAAGTGAAAAGTAAAATTCACTTGTATCAGTTAAAAAAATATAGCCCTGCTAGTCTACTAGATTTGCTTTGAAACAGAGAAAACACTTGTTAAATAAAAAATACAGGATTACCAACGAAGCTGTAGAATTAGTCGCACTTAAAACATTTATGAATAACGGTATTTTTCAGGCAAGGACTCTCTCTAAAACAGAATCCATTTTGAATCAAGGGATTTCTTCTGGTTGTTTCAAGTATAACACATACTAATTCTGCACCTGAAAATGTAAACAGAATTATTTCCGTGTCTTCTGGGAAGGCTAAACAGGGCAGAGCCCACACTCTGGAAGCACAGGCGTGTCAGTTAGCATTCACCTTGCAGGGAAGCCCGGTGCCCAGGGTCAGCTTGGAGGGTTTGCTCCAGGTCAGCCTCGACTCCAGGAGCCACCCTGGTCTCTAACTACCCGAGGGCAGCGGGGTTTCTTCCCAGGTGCAGTAATAGTGAAGAACTGCAGGTGTTGCCAGATGTCCTCTGATGTACAGGAGGCACCTGGCTTCCGTGTCGCTGAGCAGATGGAAGAAACCTTGCAGAATGTGAAGTCAGTTTAGGAATAAAGGGAAAGCAGATGGGTGCAGTGAAGGCAAGAAGTGAAAACGAGCCGGTAGGAATAACTCCCGCTGTCTCCATGCAGCTTGTAGCTGCTCATTTCGTTTCAAGTGAGCACCTCTATTTTTGCCTAGGGGATTGAGTCCAGGGCCTTTGCACTGAGCTATATTCCCAGCCCTTTTCAAAATATTTTATTCTGAGATGAGGTCTCACTTAGTCACCCAGGTTGGGCTTAACTTCAGCCTTCTAGAGCATTTAAGCAAAAAACATCTGTGACAAAATTTAACTTAGCTAACCAAGTGGTTATTAAATATTCTAAGAATGAGTTTAACAAGTCAGAGTCTTTTTAATGAGGTGTGGGATGGTAAACTCTGTTAGTACTTTTTTTAGTTCTAGAGGATTGTGACTATAGTGCTATTTTAACTCTGTAGTATAAATTGGAGATAACAGGTTTTGTTATGAGTGGAGTTTACTTTTTTGCACCTAAAATCACTGGGTTATATAGTGGTCACCTGAGGGTTATTCCTCCAAGCAGACAGAGGGGATTTATCCTTTCTGCAGTTGTGTTTGGGGCTAGTGATAGTACAGTCACAGAATTATGTTTTAAAGAGAATAAAACCAAGCAAAATAAACTCAATCAAAACAAAACAGTGTAGGTGATAACAGGAAATCAATAATGGTTACCATAATGCCTCTTGTTGTCTTCAAACAGCTGCCCATGCCATCAGAGAGCAAAATCAAACAAAACAGAACAGAATAGAACCAATAAAAGCAAAACAATGAATGCAACAGATGACTTCAAAGCAAGATAATAGTAAATCCAAAATAGCTACCATAATATATCTTGTTATCTTTGAAATAGCTGCCCATGCCATCACATATAATAACATCAAACAAGACAAAACAGAACAAACCAAACCAAACCAAACAGTGAAGATGATACAGGACTTTAAGCCAAAATAATAGGGAATTAACAGTGGCCACCACCCTCAGAAGGAGGTCCCCCGATAGATGCCACACTGCATATTGTTAGCCTCTGAGTAGCTGATCAGATTACTGGCTTTAGACCTGCAAAGTCAGTGAAACCCTAAACACTACAAGCATTAAGATGTATTTTACTTCTGTAGCTATCATCTCTGCCTGTGCTTCTCCAGATCAGCTGGTTGCTCACGGTGGGGGCGAGGCAACTTGACTCTTCTTGTCTCCCAGCCATGTGCCAGGAGGGGCTGGCATCTGGTTGTCCTCCTTGTGGTCTGCTCATGGTACTTGTTGGGCCATTTGTGGGCCAAGGGGAGGAGAACAGGAAGCCAGCCCCTTCCTGTGAGTTGGTGCCATGCACAGGCTGCGGGGAGGACAACCAGAAGGTCACAGAAATTTAAGACATGAGCCAGAGACCCAATGCTTTCATTTGCTGATGCTGACACAGGAATGCCCCTCCCTTGTCCCTTGATATTCCATGTGCTTTGTTTTCTTGAGAAGTGCGAATGGACCAAGTGAGGTGAAGCTGGAGCTCTTCTGTTCTCCTCAAGTAGCATGAGATGAAAGAGAGTTTGAGAAGAGACATTGATTTAATTCTCTTCTTTTACAATAAGAAAATCGAGGGCTTTCAAAGGGACTTGAGGCCTGGGGCAGGCAGGCCATTGGCCGAGTTGTTCTTTCTCTCAGAAGGGGCGGTGGGCAGCAGGTCTGAGCCACATGGACTTAGAACTCCTCGTTCACTGAGTTGCTCAGAGTGTTTTCCAGGCTTAATGCAGCTCGTTTTTAATCCAGGTGCAAACTGGAACGTGCAGTGCTGGGTGACAGGGGACTTGAAATTACTCATCTGTGCTGTGGAGCCCTCCCGTCAGAATCCTTGCAAGAATTATGACCTTCATCTTTTCTATGCCCTGTAAGTACTAGATCAATTCGCGTGGCCATTTCCACTATGTGATTATTTTTTTCAGTGCAATAACTTCCATAGAGTGAAGCAGACTGGGGACCCCCTGTCCCCATCTTCCCCTCACACCTGTGGACATCTATAGAATGGCTTGTGTTTTTTTATATTACATTCTTCCCCTTTAGGTTTTCTCCATTAGGGAAAAATTTTGTGTGTATTTCTTCAGGTATAGTTTTCTACATTGGACTTTATGTGAAATTAAAAGTACAAATAATATTTATTTGTCCTAAGTGGAGAGCTAAGATGGTAGCTTAAGTAGCTATAATCCCAACAGTGGACATACCCAAGCTCTAGGTCCAGGGTCAGTGCACACTCTGGATTTTAACTCTTTAAAACAGTTTCTCATTGATTCTTTTATCTAATGCTTAAAGGGTGACTTAACTTTTTCGTTACCACTCAGTGTAAGAAATGAGACCTTCCTTTCATGGAAGTGAAAATTCACAGTGGTGATTATTTTAGAAAACTTTTAATCAAAATCACTGTTACACTGGAGAATCCCCAAGAGAAACCTTCCAAAGGCTTCCATGCTTGACCAAGCATGTTTCTTAAGAAACTGAAAGCTGACATCCATAAGGGATTTAAAGCCCTCCAATATGTCTGTGAAGGGTTTGCTGTGTTGTCTGCAGTGTTGTTTGAGCTCCAATGTTAATGTTTGTCACAGAACTGGAGGAGAGATGCCCAGAGGAACATTTTGGAACAGCATTAGGCATTTTACCTTTGACCCATGAAGGAAATGCTTTTCTCCTTCAGGAGGCCCCTACTGTGCACCCCAGGCCACAGCTCAGCTCAGGAACTGCGGCAGCCCCGGGGCTCAGCCCCTCCCTGGCCGAATGGCTCTGGGGTGGCCAGGGGGTCTTTCTGGCCATGTCCTATGCTCCTGGTTCTAGCCTTTAGCTAGCAGTTTATAGCAGCAGTGTGTCTGTCTGTCTGTCCTCCTTAGAACATTTCCTCCCTCCTTCTCTCCCTTCCTGTGTTCCTTCTTGTCAAAGTGGACTCATGGAGTCTTATTTTGCGGGAGACAGTCAGTTATCAGCACTATTTTGTTACTCAGATTGACCCATCCTTGGGCAGGGGGAGCCCGGGCAGGGTGATTTCTGTGTTTTTGGTGCGGGGAGGATTTCTGACTTTCTGACATTCCAGGGTGCTGCAGGCTCATCTGACTCTTGTCCTGCCTAACACTGGGAATCCTCCCGGGGGCCACAATAGCTAAAATAAAATTTTACAGAGTGATAGTTACAAAATACAAGCCAGTGCCGACTGTTACTGAGTTGACACTGCTCCTGGCTTCTCAGTGCCCAGAGCTAGGTCTATACAGTGCACGCACGTACACACACATGCACACACACACACAGGAATCCATTTTCCCGCGTCTCTGTACACGCATGCACTGAGTAATATTCCTACTAAATGTCTCGTTCTGGTTCAGAACCACTGGGCCCCATCTCTAGCAGTGAGAAGCCTGTCTTTGCTTCCTCACTGCACACATTTCGTGTTACTTACTGGCTCGGCCTTAGAGTACACAAAAGGGGGTTTTGCAAGACTAACACATACCAAGCACATACTAAGGGTTGTTCACACTCACTTTGGCATCACCAAGGCTAAGGGTTACATGACAAAATCTTAAGTTCCTCAGTTAGTTAGGATAGGTCTTCTCTCCCACCAGTGTGGGTGAATTAGCCTGACAGATTGGAAGGTTCTTTTGTTCTGTTTGCATTCATCTTTTCTTCCCTTCTCTTCTTTGTCCTTATGGATTTTCCCCTTGGTAATGTCTTCCACGGAAGAGTACTTTGTGTTTTGCAAACTCTTTCTGTACAGTGCTCCTTGATAAGAGCTCCTCACCTGGGCGGGCTCTGTAGGTTGGAGGTGGAGCTAGGTTGTTTGCACCTATTAAAAACAAAACTCTGAGTTCCTCATAGGAAGGCTAGAATGTCAGCTTGCTCCAAGTGATTTTAATGATGAGATTAGCTTGAGACACCAACCGGATTCAAGTAATTTGGTATTAGCAAAGTAAAGTTTGGGGCAGCATTTTTACAGATTATCAGTCTGAGATTTGAAGTGACTTGATTAAACGGTTTCCGAAGCTGACACTCAGCAATTGCATTCCTCATCTTCGGTTTATCTGCTGTGTTTTGCTGTCACTTTAGGTAACAATCAGAAACTTGCACGGCACCGCTGTGTTATTCCCACAGTGGCATAGATCTTTGCTTAGAGAAGTTTTAATGCATTCTTGGAGAAATCTGGAAGGAAGGAAAACTGAAGCAAAAATCAGAGGACTAACTGTGCTTTCTATAACCACACGTGGCCACCAAAAATGAACTTTCTGACTAAATAGTTAGGTCTCTAATTTCTAAGTAGAAAATTTTTCTGGAAGGTAAAAGTTGCAAAGAGGTTAAACTTTGGAATGCATCTGACCAATGTTTTGGTATCATTTTTACCGTCAAGCAAAGCTCATTCTCGTGTTGGGGAATGAAGTAGCACCGTGTGTCTCTGTGTGTGCCTGTGTGTGTTAGCAAAGCATAAAATATTTTGCTACATACAGAATTTCCAGGAATTTCATAAAATTTAGGATGTTATTTTAAGCCAAGTACTTGTCTTTATTTATTTTGTAATTGCAGACTTTTTAGATTATCATTAGATATGGCTCCTTAAGGTATTTTATATAATTTGTGATAATGAAATTTGATAATATATTTAATGTGGCTTCTCTGGTTTTCTGTCCTTTGCCCTGTAAGTACCCAGCATAAGGAGGATGAGATATCCCTGGCCTGTAGGTCAGGTGGGCAGAGGTTTTCTTAAAGCACCTGAGAGCAGAGACCCCAGGCTCTCCGTGACGACTGCCTGGCTCTGCCTGTGTGATGGTCGAGCTCTTCATTTGGGGGAGCACCTCAGTGGTACCTGTGGGCATTGGTGTTTGAACTCTATGTTATTCCCCGGGCCATGAAACAATTTCCCTTTTTCTAAGTTTGCAGATGTGAGGAGTTGTTCTAGAGCCCTGGGCTGAAAGCTGGACTTGGCCTGTGGGTTGGAGTTTGCTGACCCTGGAGTTTAATTCCAAAATTAGCTTTAGGTTAATTTCCATAGTTTCATCGTGGAGTTTCTGTTCAAGTGCCTTGGGGAATTTCTGACTAAAGCTTTTTCTTTAATCAAAGAAATTGTGAATTGTTTATATTTTTATAGTAGAGATACTATGTAATATATAGTCATTAAGAATATATACTCATATATAATTTTTTCACATATTAAGATTATTAAAAAATGAAGTCGAGACTGAATAAATAGATAACATAAGGCTGGGGAAATAGTTCAGTGGCATAGCGCCTGCCTGGCAAGACTGAGGTCATGAGTTTGATTCCTGGTACCCCCCCGCAAAAAAAAACAGAAAACATAAGAAAAGTGATAGAGCAGATATTTATCTAAAAAATAATCAACTATTTCCACAAATAACCCCTGTATCAGAAAGGGATAATTTGGCAAGACCACCTTTTCTGAGATGATGTGATTCTAAGTTTATTTCATATTTTAGAAGGGAAAAACAGGCCTAGGATCCTATATTTGGGAGTTCTTTGGCCAAAGTATGACACTCAAAACCATGCCCAGATTTAGTTTTTTTTTTTTTGGTACCGGGGATCAAACTCACAACCTCACACTTGCAGGCAGGTGCTTACACCGCTAAGCTAAACTCCTGGCTCCGTGTTCTGACTTAGAATACCACTTTTTATTCTATTTGCAGTCCTGCTTTGTAAACCTTTTGTTTTAATTTTTTGAAAAACATAAAAGGCCTGGCTTTGGTATTTTAAAAATTTGTACTTCTTTGGCTTCGTTTAAATGTGTTGGCAAAATTGAAAGCACTAAATCATTCGGTGTCTATTTTAAGACAAAGTTTTGTGGGTGTGTAGCAATTAAAATTTTTCAAAAATGCTTTTATGTAAATATTTTCTTTGACACTCCCAACCACCCTGTGAAGGTACAGGCATTTCTCGGTTATACCGATTAAGGACAGAGTCTCATGTTATGAATGTCTTTTGTCTATGATCTTATGGCCAATAAGTACTTGATTTTATGTGCTTTTTACGATAATGTTAACTCCTTACACAGTACCCAGTGAGTTCTTTGTACATTACAACTCTGCAACTCTTGCCAGATTGATTTTTTTAGAGCTAAATTAATAATAAATTCAATATTAGGAAACTTGAAAATCTATCATCATTCAAAATATTTTGTACAAGTGGTACCCTCGCTGTGTGCGAGGGTTTATGGTCTGTTTTCATGTTTTAATTGTGTCTGAGTGTGCCCGCTGGCGTGTACGGGTCTGCAGCCATGCTTTTTCCACACTGAGTTTTTAGCAGGGACACAAAATTACAGTGTTTTCCCCCCAAAAGGGCTGCAGTATCTCTGAAGGCAGTGATGGTGCCTAAGCGCTACTGTGTTTTTGCTTGAGAGTGGTTTGGATGCCGTGCGTGGCCTTCGTGTTTGTGGGCAGCAGGGTGAGCCTGGGCCTGGGCAGCTGTGTCCAGCGCCTGCCCCTGTTCCTCTCACGCCCTCCCTCTCACTGACAGGGAGGTGGAGACTCTCTAAGTATCCCGCATGGTTACAATGAACGCTAATAAACCAGAAGCAACCGCGTTCTGGGTCTTGCTTGCTGTTAATTCTTATTTTTATTTTTTCTGAGACAGGGTCTCACTTTATAGCTCAGGCTGGCCTTGAACTTCCTATGTAGCCCAGGCCGGCCTTGAATTTGTGATCCTCCTGCATCAGCCTCCGCTGGGGTGCTGGAATTACGGTGTGCGCCACCACACCACAAGGATTACAGTAATAGGCAAAAGTGCTCACAAGAACCCTTCTATATTTTCTTTCTTTCCCCTTCTGTAAATAGCTTCATTGAGATAAAACTGATTTACAGTAAACTATAGATTTAAAGTATAAATTTTAATAAGTTTTGGTATATTAAATCATGCATAAAACTACCACTGTCATAATGAAAGTAAATATATTATCAGTCACAAAATTTCCTCTTGATTTTTCCTCTTGCCCTTCCCTACACCTGGGGAATGACTGATCTGATTTCTGTCACCAAAGGTTACTTTGAAATTTTTAGAATTTTATATAAATGCATTTATGCAGTATTTTACTTACCATGATTGTTTTGAGATTCACTGATGATATACATGACAATATTCAATCTTTTTCATTGCTGAGTAGCATTCCGTCATGTAAGCTATAGCCCAGGACTTTATCACTGTCCTCACCTGTTGATAGACAGTTGGGTTGTTTACAGTTTGGGGTGATGACAGATGAAGCTGTCCTGCCTCTGGCCTGCTTTTGTTTCTGTTGGATGATTCTGGGAGTGGTCCAGGTGTGTTCACAGGGTAAGTGTATGGTAACATAAGAATCTGCAGAGCTATTTTTCAAAGCTGTGTCATTTTCCTTTACCACCAGCAATACATTAGTGTTCTGGTTCCTCCACTCCCTCACTGACATGTGATATAGTTAGTTTAGCGCTATGCTGCTGTGTTTTTAACTGTGTATGTGTGTGGATGCAACGGTGGCAGAAACACCGAAACGACACCCAGGGCTTGGAGGCAGAGGCCAGCTTTCCTCATGAGGCACAAAGGCAAAGAGCACCAGGCAGTTCCCTGAGTACCTGGTCGTGTGGGATCATCAGCGACCAGGCGAGATCAGTGATGTCCGCTGCAAGACCAGGTTAACGACCGCGAAGCTTGGTACAGTCGACACCCAGCGGGCTCGGTCAGGCTCTCGCGGTTACAGGCGGCCGGAAAGGAAGGACAGAGCTAGGCAGTTTCCAAAAGAACAAAGCTTTAAAAATTTTTAGTTGTTTTTTCCTGTTTCATTTATTCATTGTTCCTGTTTTCCTGTTTTATTCCTTCTTTTAAGTTAATTTTTATGATTCTAGTCTTCTTTGCTGCTTATTAACTGTGTCTTTTTATTATTTTTGTGGTTGCTTTAGGACTTACAATGTATGTTTTAATATAGACTTGTGATATTTTACCCTTAAATACCACCACTTCACGAGCAGGGGAAGATGATCACAGCTGTGTACACACCTCTCCTGTCCCAAGCTTGGTATTAGCTCTATATAGTTCACTTCTACCTACCTTGTAAACCACCATACATGGCTGTTATTTTTGTTAAATGATCAGTGAGTAACCACCCTTTTTAGTTAAATTTCATTTCTTTGTGTGAAGCCCTGTTTCTGGCTGCTGTTGTTTCCCCGATCAGAGGACCTCCTGGAGCATTTTATAGAACGTGGCTGGGTCTGAGGACAGGCCTTTCCCCCGTGCTATTTCAAAGCCATTTCACCAGTGCAGGACTCAGGGTGCGGGACTGCAGCTGTTCTTTCCTTTCAGGGCTTCCCTCTCTTGCTGGTGTGATTTCTAACACTGCCTCCTGCAGTCCTTGGTCTTTCTGACCCTGTGTGTTTTTTCCGGAAGCCCCTTAAGCCGGTGCATGACACTTTTCCCATCCGTCCTACTTTGACATCCAGGTTAATATTTAGCTCTCATTTTTCATATAGCTTGGAAGTGGCAGGAGGCTCGCGCCTGGCTCCCCAGAAGGGTAGCTTTGAGATTGTCCAGTGCAACTGCAGCTCTGAGGACCGCTGGGAGTGTCGCGTGCCGGTACCGGCAGCCAAGCTCCATGACTCCTTCCTGATGTACTTGAAAATCACAGCTGCTTGGGCAACTTTTTGGTCGCCTCTGATGTCAGTTCAGCCCATCAGTGTTGGTAAGTGGTGCCTTAAAAGGCTGAGAAAGCTAAGCAGCCACACCTGTCCAGGCTGCAGTTTGTTTACCGTGAGAGAGAGATTTTTCTCCGACTTCTGTCACTTTCTAGCACTGGCAACAGGGTGACTGGGAGGAGAGCTGGGCTGTCAGCAGCTGCTGGGGGGAGTGAGCGGTGATAGAATTCTCTCTGCAGCTGTCGCTTCAATTCTTGTTTTACAACCAGGGAGATTTTCCATTGAGGCGTGCTGTGCAGGGCACTGAGATGGGAAAGTCAGAGAGCACGGACACGAGGCTGTGTCTGGTGCACACACGAGACTGAGCTGCCTTTGGTGGGCGGCTGGCTGGGTCTGAGGTCTCGGAGCCTCAGGTGTGGAAGCCGTTAGCAGATGGGGTTGTTCGGGGGACCCAGCTGGGGCTCAGGAAGAGAAAGCCTGCGGGGTGGTCAGCGGAAGGAAAGAGGGCTGAGCTGGACGTGCGGGCACAGGTGTGTAAGGGAGGTGGGGTGTGCAGCTGTGAGCAGGGCCACCACTTAGGAGGGACGCGGCGTCCACCCAGGTGGCAGCCTGGTACGGCAGGTTCAGTGGGGTGAGGAGGAGGACCTGACCAGATAGGATGGGGTGAGACCAGTCAGGGTGAGGGGTGCCTGGCGGTGACAGAGAAACCCCCCTCTGCTGGAGGAGGCAGATAGAGGGTAGCTATGGAACTGGGGGTGCAGGGGCCCAGGGAAAGCGCGCGTTTGCATTCCTAGTATTAATGCACATTAATATGCAGGTGGGATTCTGATATTCACGCACATTGATACACAGACGGGAACTGCTCAGGGTGAGGTTCAGTAGTTTCACATTGCTTTTGTGTCTTTGCTTTTTTTTTTCATTCTGTGTTTGATCATGGGGACCTCATAAAGTTTGCCTTGTGGCCTCCAGATTTTAGTCTTTAGTTATCTCTGCTTCTGAGTAATTTACATCTCTGGTAATCATCTAAGCTGAGGCCTAAAGGAGAAGAGGAAAGCTGTGTCTAGATCCCTGCAGCTAAAGAAAGTGAGACGCAAGCCATTTTACTTATTAAAAATAAAGTTCAAATCAGTAGATGTTTCAAGATAGTGATAATACCTGTGCACAAGAGTATGTGCCGACTGCAGAAACCTTGCAGGTAGAGGTGTGCAAAGAAAAATATGCAGCATCTCTTCTCCCACTTTGACAAGCTTCTGACTTTTAATATATATTTGTGCATATCCCTTTCATTAACTTTAACACATCAGGACTCTAAATGTGAATATATGATAAGCTTGTTAAAGAACATCAAGAAGATTTTTAAAATTTTATTTTGAGACAGGGTCTCACTGTGTAGATCGGGATGGCCTTAAATTCATTATGTAGCTCAGGCTGCCTCAAACTCATGGCAATCCTCCTGCCTCAGCCTCCCAAGAACTGGGCTTATAGGTGTGCGCCACTATACCTGGCCTCAAGCAGATTTTTGTAGCAGAAAATCACAAAGATCAAAGCCATCTAATTTACAGATTTATAGTCTTCACCGTTTAGGAGGAAGGAAATAAAGATACACAGGTATCTGATAAAGCAGACCGGTACTGGATCTTTGTTTTGGTTCTGTTATTAGCCTATGAATAAAGTTACCTTTTGTTGAAAGCCAGGGGAGGCTGAATTCACTGTGTTCTGATGCGACTGGACTGAGACTTGCTGGACTTAGACCTGTTGTCTTTTCTTTCTGAAGTCAAGCCGGAGCCACCGCTGGATTTGCATATGGAAATCACAGAGGACGGTCATTTAAATATTTCTTGGAACAGCCCGGTGCTGGCACCATTTCCACTTCAGTATCAAGTGAGATATTCCGAGAATTCCACAACAGTCCTTAGAGAAGTAAGTGTGCTTTAATAAACGGAGTAGAAAGTCCAGAAGCAGCGCCCCCCAGAGATACTTCTGCAGGCTGCGTAGCAGGCTCCTCCCCAAAGGAACCATCGCTGGCATGGCATGCAAGAGGTGTTTTGTGCACACCCCCAGCTCCAGGAAGAGCGTCACAAACACTTTGAGTAATTGTTTTCACTTCCAGATGACTGATTTTTCATTTTAGGCTTTTAAAAAATTGCCCAATAATTTATTTACAATGGGTGCATGTTCACTGTGAAGTGTGACAAATCTTTTTTTATTTTTATTTTTTAAAATCAGCATATCGAGATTGTTTTACTAGGTGGAAAACAATGAAGTAGGTGTAAAATTAAAATGATTAGGAAAAAGTAAATGATGGTTTATTGCTGTGTGTCCTGTGGGAATTTAACATGAAATTGCCAGAACTTTTCATTGAACTAAATATAGGGAGCAAGTTTTGTTTGGTTATATTAAACTGAAACTTGTAATATTAAATAATAATGAACAACTACAGCAATATTACGTTTTAATCAAGAAAGCAGCAAATCAAGAGTGCTTCTTTTCTGAGTATAATCTGTTTTCTCAAATTTTAAAGAGAAAACCCAATAAAAACAAAGACACACAATTTCAAAAGCAAGATGACAGGACACTGACAATGGTTAATATGTTTTGTTATCTTCACAGCAGTCACTCAGATCCCCAGAGGCAGGTGCACAACCAGCACACAGCACAGGCACGAACCGTGTTTTCGATGAACTATGAGGACCCAGTAGCATCATTATCTTAGCTACCTGAGTCTTGTTTTAATCATTCAGTGTTTGCTGAGCACCTACTTAGGGCCGGGGCCTGCTTTCTGAACATCAGGTGGCTTTGGGGAAACCAAAGAGGAGGGCCTGAAGGCTTTGGGGGTGCTGGTGGTGGGGCTGGTGAGGTGAGTGGAGGCCAGAAGGCAGAGACCTCAGACAGCAGTGGGGCTGGCAGGAGCCGCTCAGCAGGGCTTCTTGGCTCAGCTGAAGACTGGGCCTCCTGCACTGTGGGGCCCAGTTATGTGTAATTCAGAGCCATGTGCAGATCTGGGCCAGCTCTTGAAAGCTTGCTTTTCACAAGGAGCAGTTTGGTCACACTGCACCTAGTGTGGAAAAGGCTTGCTCATTTGCACTCTGGAGGCGGTGGGCTCTTGGGAGGCATCTGCCACTGTTCCTTGCATTCCTGGTGCGTTTTGTTATTTTTAGTCTGTAATTCTTCCCTGACCATCTTAAGAGGCCAGGGAGTTTCATAACTGGTGGAATTTTGGGGGAAAACAGTCTGTTCACCGTGGAACTCTTACTGAGTGAGAGGTTGTTTTGTTCCAGATTTAGATTCATGAACCAGTGATGACCAGGCTCAGGCTCTTCAAATCCTTCTTCCTGCCCTCCTTCCTTCCTTCTTTTCTTTCCTTCCTTCCTCCCTTTCTTCCTTCTTTCCTTCCTTCTGTTCCTTCCATCCCTCCCTTCCTTCCTTCCGTGGCCCTGGTGCCCAGGAACTCTTCCCCTTCTCTCTCTACCCTGTGCCGTGCTCTCTGCCAAGGCTGTTACAGGTGGCAGTGGGGCCTGGGGGTTTCCCACCATCCTTAGCTGCATTACCCAGAATTCTAAGGGTCCCACCCAACTGTGTGCTAATCACCACTGTGACTTTTTTGGGCCCAGGAGTGATGTGCAGACTTCTGCTTCTTGGTCATTGATTGCTGTTTTAATTCCTCATGGTGAGATTTTCTCTGAAAATCGATGAGACTTGCTTGTGATTACCTAAAATGCTTCACGAGCTGATGTGCTCACCTGCGTTTGATAGGTGGACGAGATGGTCTTGGCCCCGGCTCTGCTGGTGGACAGCGTGCTGCCTGGCTGCTCCTATGAAGCTCAGGTGAGAGGCAGGAGACTGGACGGCTCGGGGGTCTGGAGCGACTGGAGCACCCCTGGAGTCTTCACCACCCAAGGTGGGTCTCGGGACCCTTCCTCTGCGAAGGCAGTGCTCCCCAGTCTGCCTTCCCTGTCTCGCAAGCATCTGAAGCTTTGTGGCTCTAAAAGCAAAGAGGAGACACAGTGTGACTTTTTATTAAATTTCCTACAAGTTAACTTGATAGTTAAGATCGTGTTGACATTCCCGTGTTCACGTGCTTCCACCACATGCTCTAGTTGAGGTACTTTCTATTAAAAAATTGAAAGTCACAATCAAAACCCTGTGTTCAGGACACAGTTGCAGTGGTAAACCTTTAGCTGTCAGGTGAAAGGAAACCAAGTATCTTGGTTTGCTGCATATGTTAGATGTGAAAGTTTTATTTTCATATATACTTAACGCATGAAGTCTTTTTTTTATTTTTTAATTTTTTTTATCGGTACCAGGGATCGAACTCACGACCATGCGCTTGCAATGCAGGCGCTTATGTCGCTGGGCTAAGTCCCCAGCCCACAAAGTCTTTTTACTGTGGATGCTTGGATTTGACGTTTTCAGTGAAAAAGCTTCATAGTTTTGAAGACCAATGGGTTGGTGGTGGTGCTGGGGTTGAGCCCAAGTCTCATGAGTGCTAGGCAGGAGCTGTGTACCCAGGCCTTGAAGTTAGTTTTAATCAGAAAACTTGCACTTTCCTGGGAGAATGATCCCGCCCTGGCCCCAGCTACGCCGTGATGATGCGCACTGGAGTGGCTCCTCCAGACTTTTTCACTACTCAGCTTGCTTGGGGATGTGTGGAAATGCCAAGTGTGTAAAGTACCAAGCAAATATTCGAGCCATTTAGTGCAACTGGTTGATTTGTGATTACTTACTGCTTAGCAAGTGTTCACTTGTCCTTAACAAGTAGCCTTTGACTCTTGGGAAGCACCAGGGAATGTTAAACACTGCGGTAGACCAGACACCCATGACCGTGTGCCCAGCGTTTCCAAGTGCAATGGGGTGTGAGATTGATAGGACTGTGGGCGGCAGCTGAGTTCTTAGACCTTTCTCAAATGCCTGTTAATTGTTACCAAAGCAGAGGAGAAATTTACATCAGGCAGTTTGCAAGTGGGAGCTCTTGTTATGGGTTACCTCCAAGAATGGAGCCGTCAGAGGCGGCCTGTAAAGCCCCAGGAGAGTGCTTGGCCAGGTTAGGCGAGGTCCTGGTTTCCATGCTTCAGGCATAGTTTGTGTGCTTTTGAGTAGCTAATGCTGTTAATGTTTGTGAATAGAATTTCCTCTTTTAATAGAGTTCATTCATGTGAGTCTTGCAAAGGGATCACTACTGTGTCATGAGAAGAAAACATGTGTTCTCATGTGACATATTAAAGGCTGCATAGTGTCTCATGAGGCTGATCTCTGTTCATATCAATTATTCAGCAGTTATCGCCTACATTTTAATAAATTTCAGTGTACATTTTTAAAGTTGTCAGATTTTTGTTAACTTATTTTTTGTTTTTTAGTTTGATTGAAGCATTTAATCATGTCAGAACACGATAAATGTAACCGCATGTCTTGATTCAGCTTTAATAATGCACTTCATTTTAAAGTAAAATGCTTTGAATTTTTAAGTCATCTTTTAAAACTTTAACTTATAAAAGCTTATTTGTACTTTTATTTAAAAAAATAAGAATTATTCTGACATTTTTGAGGCAGTTAGTGATACATTTGTGTATATTAAAGGCAGGTTAAATTTGCTGGGTGTTGTGGCACATGCTTATAATCCCAGCACTCTGGAGGCTGCGGCAGGAGGATTGCTGTGAGTTGGAGGCCAGCCTGGGCTGCATAGTGAGACCCTGTCTCAAAAAAAAAAAATTACTACTAAGAGTTTTCCTGTTTCTATGTGATTATAGGCATATAAAACTGAAATGTCTTGTGTGGGTTGTAAATATACAGCCATTAAAGCTTAAAAAGCTATTACAGAACAGAAAAAGCCTTATGAAAACCAATGAAAAATTTTGTTTTGATTGTAGTGGTCACTCAGGTCATCCATGTGCAAACACTCAGGAACAGACAGCAACTTGCTTTAAACTGTGCTGTCCAAATACACCGATACTCTTTACTGTGTTTTAGTAGACGTAACCCCTTGCTGTGTAAACTGCTGCCTACCTTCGTCCTCCTCCTCACTGATAATAACAGGCAAACTAAGCTCCCAATAATAGAACATTTAAAAAGAGCGTGGAACAGTGCACAGGCATTAGAAATCAGGGTTTAGGGAATTACCGGTTCCTCCTGTCCACAGTCACAGGACACTCGTCAGTGTCAGATGACCCGAAGTGAAATCGCAGGTGAGTGTTTAGCGTTTCCTCTGCTCCTTACGCTGGTGCACTGTTCGCACCACATCTCTGAACTACGCTTCTTATTTTTACCTCCTTTCTCTCCTTCACCTGCTTATTGGAAATCTTCACATATTCCAACCGGACAAGCGGCCGTTGTTTTGCAGCCCGTCTGGTTGGGGGTTTTTGTGGTGTGGGGATTTGCACTGAGAACTCACCTTGAGTTTCACTGAATCCTACAGCAAGGTCTGATGCCGCTGTGGAACTAAACCATGTTCCACCTTAGCTGGTTTTCTGCCTCTCAGTTAGCAGGTGGCAAGCACCAATGGAAACATACATTGTGGTGAATAAGCTGGTGTCTTCAGGGGACAGGAGAAACGTAGTCTGGGGGTCACCTCCATGCACTGGAGAGGCGGGGTTCCTGTGACACTGCCCATCCACAGGTTGATAGGGTTATCTGGTTTTCAGTGCCCTTGCCGTGGCTCGGTGGTGAGACCCTGGGAAACGTCGTGGATCTCCTGGGCCAGGACAGGCTGCTTTCACGCTGTTTTCTTTCTGCACCTGACCGCCTGCCTCTCTCTCCTCACGTTACAGATGTCATTTACTTTCCACCCAAGATCCTAACGAGCGCAGGGTCTAATGTTTCCTTTCACTGCATCTATAAAAATGAAAACAAGATTGTTTCTTCGGAAGAGATTGTTTGGTGGGTGAACCTAGCGGAGGAAGTTCCTCCGAGCCAGTATGATGCTGTGAGCGATCATGTTAGCAAAGTGACCTTTTCCAACCTGAAAGCCACTGAGCCCCGGGATGAGTTCAACTACGACGCTGTGTACTGTTGCCAGGAACACCAGTGCCACCATCGCTATGCCGAGTTGTACGTGATTGGTAAGAATGCTGAGGTTTTGTTCATTTTTGACCCACGAATTGAATCTTGGCTCTAGGCTTTGCACTCTGATGAAAGATGTCAATAAAATTTTTTTCATTAAAAATTATTGGTGCTTTTACTTTTTATTAATATTTTAATGTGTTTTAAATAGATGTCAATATCAATATATCATGTGAAACTGATGGGTACTTAACTAAAATGACTTGCAGATGGTCTGCGAACCCAATGCAATCACTTGTGGGAAGCTCTTGGAAGTTGAGATATTACAGGTGCGTACTGCTTGTGCTGTGTGTAAGGTGAGAGGAACACTTTCTTTAGAAACATTGCCGTAGTAGTAGCCTCGTGGATTTTCTTTCTGAAAAGAAAGATAAAATATTCATTGGGAAATGTTTCAAGGTTTAAGTAAATTGGCGACTGTTGAAAACATTCACATCCAGGGTTTTAAAAAATTGTGATTTGTCTTTTTATTTCAAAGTATCTTTTCTGACAACCAGTCAAGGTCCTGTAATTGCATTTGAACTCCGGGGTCACACACAGGAAAAATTTGCAGATGTTTTAATTTGACTTAGAGAGTTAACTAGAGTTGAATATGATGGATTTAGAAAGCGTGAAACATATTAAATGATTTGGCTAAAGATTAATAATTTGGAAAAAACAGACAGATGAAAAGATTTAGAGAGACAAGGTGAATGATTTTTAAAACTAGATGATATTTAAGAAATAAACACTTAATAAAGAGCAATGTGTGCCAATGGGGAGAAATCTGTGCTATTTAGGATTTTTTTGTTTTATAAATATTTAAGACCTCTCAGAGCATCTGCTCTTGTCTCTGTAAAATGTATAATATAAAAAAAACACCCTTGATTAGAGGTTAGGCATGTTTTTATTCTTAGAACATTCCTTAGTAGTTTTCAAGAATGTTTTCAAGAATGCATTTGGCTTATAAGCACTGTTCCGGGCTTGTTTTTATTTGTACTGATGATTGGTATAGTGTACTCATTTGTTCTTAAAATCTGAAATTTCAACTTGAAAATAAACTACTTCCTCGAACGCTGAGGTCTGAAGTCTATTACTAGTGCTATGAGTCTGCTCTTATTTATCGGATTAGAAAAACATGGCTATTTTCTACTTTTATCCCTCCTCTTATGAAGGTTTAAAAATCAGTGTAGTCCATCTTTATGTGCTTTCTGCACAAAGGAGGAGTCTGTAGAAGACCATGACACAAACTCTGTCTGTGCCTGGTTTGCCTGGCTGCCAGACCTTGAGTGACCTTGAAACCAGCTCAGATGATCTGAGTTTCTTAATCTCAGTTTCTTTGGCTGTAAAATGAAGGACAGAGAGGACTTATGGAATTTGTATCAGCACTGACGATATATTTCACAGTTTTAATTAAATGGTAGAACTTCTAGAAAACCTTCAACACATGATAGTGGCCACCTTGGTGCCAGTGGTGCTAGCCGCTTGATTGCTCCTGGACACGGTTCTTATGCTGCTCCCCCAGGCTTGCTTTCTGTCCAGCGATGATTCTTATCCCTCATTTTCATTTTTGCGTTCACAAGGGTGTAGTTTTATTTTCCTTCTCATTTTTCTCCCTCCCACTCCTGTGGAAAGAGTAACTGTGACTTTTCACCATTTAAATACCTTGCTCAGAAAGGTAGGCAGTTGGCTGGTGGGCAGTTGTTTCAGAGAAGGAAATGCTACCTTCGTTCTGAGCTGGAATGTTGATTGGGACTCAAACTAGTTTTGCTTAATTTTCTTATCTGAGTATGATACTCTGGTACATAGTTTGTGTATGTATCAGAAATTGATAGTATTTTAACTATATTAAAATAGTAGGGTACTGGCAACAAAGCTATAATTTATTGCCACTGACGATTTCAATTGGTGGTGGCATTTAATTGCCGGTGTTAAGGTGTGAGGAATTTGTTTTCTTTCAGTCCCAGAAACCCCCATGTTACTACTTTTGACTTCATACTTTTACAATCGTGTCTCTAGCATGTAATGCCAGCATGAGCTAAAGTGGTGGGAGGTCCGCTCTGGCGACACTGTCTCCTTGTTGGAACAGTCATTTCTTCTGCATCCCTGTTTAGTGTATAGTGAGATCTTGTGTAGGACTTACTGTCTGTTTCTATGGAGAGACATAAGATTGGGAAATCAACAATGCCTCTCCAGTAGCAACAGCTGTTATTGGGTGGAACAGAACTCTTCTAAACAAGAAATCAAAGTCTGGAATATTTTCATTGCTTTCTTGATGCTGTATACTCACCGAGTGTTGTTGTCTTTTAAGGAGAAGCCTGTATTGCTCTGAGCGTCCATCCATTCACCCCGTATCGGAACCCAAAGATTGCCATTTGCAGGACGATGGCTTTTATGAGTGCATTTTCCAGCCAATATTTCTGTTTTCTGGCTACACAATGTGGATTCGGATCAATCACACTTTGGGGTCCCTGGACTCTCCACCAACGTGTGTCACCCCTGACGCTGTCGGTAGGTCAGACGGGGCTGCTGTGTACCTTTCTGTGCTTGCAGACCTGAGAGTTGAACTAGGGTCCTGGGCATGCCAGGCAAACACTCTACCACTGAGCTACACCCCCAGCCCTAGGTGCCTTTTTATTAGCATAGTTGGATCTAGAGTGATTTAGGGTTAATATTGTACTTTGCCATTTTTCTGATCACATTAGATTTTGAAAAAAGAAATGTTTACATTTGCAATGGAACTGAGAAGTTCAACCACAGAGTTTCATATCTTTGAGTTTATCTTATATTATTTACAAGTGTACTTTTTCAACAGTTGGAGTGTTATCAACATGCTGCTTGATGAATTATTTGGAATACTATAAATAAAACGTTTTAATAATGTTTTTATAAATAATGCATTATTTTATGTTTTCCTTCCAGTGTATTTATGAATACTTGGTGTTTTTAATCCAAAAGTTTAACTTGGATATTCTAAGATATTTATAATCTGAGAAGTCAGAACCCAAGGCTTTGTGAGGTTGTAAAACACAGGTATTCAAAGTATCTAAAGTAGGTTATAGCTCAGTGGCATAAGTGCCTGCTTGGCAAGTGCAAGGTCCTGAGTTTGATTCCCAGTACCAAAAACAAAACAAAGAAACCAAAAAACAAAGTATTTAAAGTGTAGTAAATAGGCAAAGATAATAAGATCTGTCACAATAACTTAAAAGATTCTTTTCAAAAGGTGTTTTGATTTCCAAGGACTCAGAGAGCTCTGGGGAAATTTGATGTCGATATCAGTGCGAAGTCTTTGAGAAACGACCTATTTATAATTATACAGCAGAGTTAAAGAACGTCTTTTGGTGCTGTATTCTATTTTCTTGTGAAACAGTGCCAACATTAATATTTTATTCATTATTTTTTCAATTAGTACACATTTGAATTAAATCCTATATTTTGTGAAGTTTAGGTCAAGCCTATTTAAATTACTAGATGTATTCTCCAAGATGACTTTCCAGTCAGCTGATTTCTCTTCTCCTCTATGTACTTCTCTTTTAAGCAGTTTTGCCGCAAGTGGTCTTTCCTGGTACTAAATATCCCAGGCCAGCAGGAAACCTGCTACCCCATCAGCACACACAACACACATTTATATGTGACAGACATGACTTGGATAACCTATCTGAGTAACCTTTGGTGGTTTGCTTTTCAAAACTAAATTAAAGAGTTTAAATTGAGCTTGTGTCACTTAGCAGGAGAAAACAGTGTGGAAATTTAGTTGAAGGATCCAGTCCCAGCTTCACCTCTTACTAGCAGTTGGTCACACGAATACTCTGGCCACCCTTAAATTGCGGGCAGCGGTTGGCGCCTTCCTATTGTGAGTCTCACTGCAGGTTTCCAGTCACCAACAATTACGCTTCAGAGAACACTGCGGCAAACTGCATAGCTACTAATATGTCCGTGTAATTCAGACAAGTGCGATTGTCTGTTTAACTCTTTATGGCCCCCTGACATCTTTTCCTGCAGAGAAACGCTCCATTGGAATAAAATGTCTTCACCATCTTACGGGGTTGGTGATGAGTCACTCCTTCGAATGTGAAGAATTACGTGAAATACATGTTAATGAAAAATGTTAGGAATTTTTATGAGCAGTCCACAGTGTTAGTGTCGATTGTTTAAGCAAAAAGTGATGTAAAGGATGCGACACCGTTGGCACAGCGGGTTTTGGTTAGAGAGTGAGATTCAGGGGCGAGACTGTCGGCAAACACGGGTGCTGTGCCTATCTGGCCTGGTCCCCTCCTTCCAAGAAGAGGGGCCTCGCAGCTGCAGTCCTGAGCTGGCTCTGCCCCAGCAGGTGAGGGTCGTGGCGGGTGTGGGGGGGATCCAAGGTGATATTCTCAGGAGAGCAGCTCCTCCCAGGCAGCACGAAAGGCTGGCACTTGCTATTTTAGCAGGTTCGTTGGCACGCCAGCTAGCTCTGTGCCCTCTGCGGGGACCTCTCCACCCGTGGTGTAGGCACGGCACACGCAGCAGCCTCACGAAGGTGATACTTGGCCCGGCCTCCCGGAGCTCAGTGCGTCCTGCAGTTTTCAGGTTTTGTTTCGGATGTGTCAGGTTTCTGCATTGTCCTTTGTTGTTAGGGAGAGTGGGTCTCCAAGACTGACCACCCGGGGAAGTGTGCATGGTGGGTGTACGCCTGTGCTAAAGTTTTGCTGTAGCTCTGGGAACAGCAGCATCATGAATGAGAATAAATCAAGATAGCTTTTTTCTTGACATTTCTATATTTTGTGGTTTTATGGCACTGTATCTTTACATCTATCTTGCTTATGAATTTATAGTTTTAAGAGCTGTTGTTTAAAAAAATCACTTGCTATTCAGGTCATCTTTGATTCTATCTTTCTGCTTATTTGAAAGCTTGTTTTCCCCGGCCTGTAGCAAACCAGTTTTTCTCTGGGAAACGACCCCTGACCTTGACCTTAGCATAGAAATAATTAATAATAGAAGAACAATCTGACATGCTTGCGATTGGATACAGATTCAAGGTGTGATTTTTTTTTTTCCTTAAAGTAGAACTCCCTGCAGAGGCAAGTTTGCTATTTTGATATTTACGTGTGTTTGCTGTGATGCCTTTTTACATGGAGAGTCAACTTCTAATGGGGTGTTTGTATTAATCTGCAGAATGACAGGGTTAGTCTGGTACTTTTTTCACCCTCTTTATTTGCAAAATAGAGATCTCCCTTTCCTGTATATCATGCAGAGTTGTAGGAGATCAAATGAAGTAGTGAACGGGAAACTTCCGAAAAGCATACTGCTTTATTACTAGGAAGTATGAAACATAGCAGTGCTTAGCATCACTGCTTTTAGTGACTTTTGCATAATGTCATTTTTAAAATTTCTAGTGAAACCGCTGCCACCATCCAAAGTGAAAGCAGAAATCACTGGAAATGTTGGATTATTGAAAGTATCTTGGGAAACCCCATCCTTTTCAGAGAACCAGCTTCAGTTCCAGATTCGCTACGGCTTGAGTGGGCAGGAAATCCCATGGAAGGTACCTGCAATCCCCATTTCTTTGCCTTGCTCCGCGAAGCGCTGTTTCTTACCATGTCTACAGGTTGGGTTGATCTTACTTACACAAAATGCATCCTACTATATGCTCTGTCTTTTTAGTAATTTGACTCGTCAGCCTTTTAAGAATAAATTTCTTGGTCCACTGTTTCCCAGCATGGAGCAGTGGCCTCACGCACCGTTCCTGGTGGTGAGACCGACCTCGTGGCTAAGCAGGAAACCTGCACCACTGCATCTCCCTCATGGGAGATGTGGTGCTTTGCATAGTAAAGGCTTGGAGACATCCTACCTTAAGAAACGTCTGTGACTTTATTATGGCACCTGTGTTTCCCACTCATTTATCCAATGAATTCTGTTTCTTTCAACACCTGTTCATGTTCTTGAGTGTTCCACGTGTGTTCAGTGGAATGCATTTTGCAAGAGGCTGAGTCATATCATTAATGGCCAGTCGCATACGGTGGCTTTGTGTGTCAGTATGGTGATGGTAGCCTGAGAGGACCCAGAACTGTCAGGAACTCGAGTGATGGCATTAGCTCACAGCAACTGCAGTTACAATGAGTGTGAGTTGGGTGTGGTGGTGCAGGCCCGCAATCTTAGCTGCGCTAGAGGCTGAGGTAGAAGATTGCAAGCCCAAGGGCAATGGGGGCGACCTCGCAAAAGCCTATCTCAAAACGAAAAGAGAAGGGGGTTAGCTCCGTGGAAGAGTTCCCCTGGGTTTGAGCTACAGCACTGCTTAGAAATGAATTAATACATAAACAAATAAAAGAACGTGACAGTTTACCTGGTTAATGAGGGAGGCAGTATCAGTGGGTGTCGTAGGGGGCCCTAGATACCACTGTTACATTCCGGACATCCTGGTGCAGGGGGCTGAGGACAGGGGTGAGTAACAGGGTGAGGGAGAGCCTGGGAAATGAAGCTGCAGGTGAACTAGTCCGGAGTCTTTTCACAGCAGCATCAGCATCACAGTGACACCCCTGACTAAGGTTCTGTGACTCTTCCTCAAGCCAGCTGGTGCAGTTGGTTCTCTCCTAATGTTGAAGCAGTGCTAAGGGTGGAAATCAAATGCACTCGCACCCTCCAGGTAGACCCACAGTTGCGACCCACCTGACGCTTTGCCCTGTTTTACAGACGCACGAGGTGGATGACGCCATGATCATGTCCACCAGTGTCCCCGTACGAGACCTATGCGCGGCCTATGCTGTGCAGGTACGCTGCAGGCGGCTGGACGGACTGGGGTTCTGGAGCGACTGGAGCAGCACTGCCTACACGGCCGTCATGGATGTGAAAGGTCTGCGAGCGTTTTGCAAACATGTCTCTAAAGTGCATCAGGTGCCCCTGAGAGTACTGCTGCCAAATCCCCTTCTATAGCCTGTACTTCTTGTCATTTTACAGTTCCTGCCAGAGGACCTGAAGTGTGGAGACGCATGGACGGCGACATTACCAAGAGAGAGAGGAATGTTACCTTGCTCTGGAGGGTAGGCTGTTCGTATGCTATTGTTAAGTTTGCTTTTATGCGCTTCAAAGAGATGCTTCAACGCTCCCAATCCAGAGCCATTGTGAGCCTCCTGGAACAATCTGCAGCCCTGTGCTTTCATCCAGGTTTGAGACTGCGGACCCAGGTGTGTCGTGGCTGGGCACCGGCCAGGAGTGAGGAGCCTTTAGTTCTCTTCTTGGCTTGGTCTATTACAGTGAAGTCACTGCTTTTTTGGCAAAGTCACTCAGACTTTTCAAGGCTCATTTTCTTCATCTGGATGAAACAAAAGATATTCAGTATTCCTCAGGGCCCCAACTTTATTCTTAATAATTCTGAATGACATAAATGTGCCTTGCCTTCGCACCCCAAGAGCATCTAAAAGAGACTATTCTGTCTGTATGATGGCATATAAATCATGATTTTTTGGGGGGGGGTACCAGGAGTCAAACCCAGGACCTTGCACTTGCCAGGCGGGCACTTGTGCTACTATGCTACAATCTATGGTCTTAAGTAGATGCAATCTAGAAATTTGAAAGTATTCTTCCTATCAAATAAGTTGATTTCTGTCCCAAGAAGTAGATCATTTGATCAGCGGGTACAAATTTGCGACTGACTTGGAAATAGAACACAAAGGACCCCAAGTGAATTAACACATACTTAAAAATAATTTCCTGATTTAAGTCTCACACCCCTGTGTCAAACTAGGGTATAAAAGACTTTATGTACACTTAGTTTGTAGTCCAGTTACATTATGATTTTGTGTGGTTAACAAGCAAGGCGATTCTAGGCAGTTCTCCATTTCAGTATTTCTGATTTAATGTTAGTGGTCAGAACTGCCACTGGCATTTGCGAAGCCCTTACATATTCCAAATCCCTCTGTGTCCGTCTCCCAGGGAATTCAGTGCCGGGGGGTGTCCCTCAGTCTGTCAGTGTGACAGCCCTGCGCTCCTCCCCAGTGTCGGGAAGAAAAGCCCCGTCTATCGTCTTGCCCAGCAGGGTCTTTTCTCTCCCTTTGCTGTGTCTCTGGATACTGGCTCCAAAGATCTGACGGTTTCTATGCAAAGGACAGGTGGCGAAGTCCCAAAGACAGGTTCAGCTCAGCCATAAGAAGAATTTAGTCGAGGTGGCCTTTCTTGCTCTTATTTATCTTCTCGCAGCAAACTCTCCTGGCCCCCGGGAGCTGTTGGGGTGAGGGGCGTCTTCTTTCCCCTTTCTTTTTGCTTTGTGCAATCTGAGAGCAAGGCCTGACGGCTTGTTGGAGGGAACGCTTCTCCTCTTCCTCCTCAGCCTTTGTTTCTTCAAAATGTGTGTGCAGCTGCTGGTGGAAAAGGGTTCTAAGTATAAGCTGGCTTTGTTCTCCTTGGTGGGTACAGTTGTTCTTTCTTTCTCTGGGGCTGAAGAAACAAACCTCAGAGCGGGGAACTAAGCTTCCACAGCTACCCAGATCCTTCAGGGAGCCAGTGTCCTCCCCAGCCGGCCTGGCCTGGCCCCTGTGCTCCGGTGGGAAATGCATAGTGTGAGCCCTGGGCACTGCGCTGTGGCCTTGCACTAACCCGTGCTCGCGTCTCCGGCAGCCCCTGATGAAAATCGACTCTTTGTGCAGTGTGCGGAGCTATGTGGTGCAGCATCAGACCCCCCACAACGGCACGTGGGTGGAGGACATGGGGAACCAGACCCACCTCACTTTCCTGTGGACGGAGCAGGCCCACACTGTCACCGTCCTGGCCGTCAATTCCATTGGGGCTTCCCTTGCGAATTTTAACCTCACGTTCTCGTGGGCGATGAGCGAAGGTAAGGAGGATTCGACCCCTGCAGAGCCTGCCTGTCTGGGTTCCCTTCCTTCTTTGCATGAAAAATAGCAAAAGTGTCGCACACTGATGGAGGTCGTGTGGTGAGACCCAGTCTAAACGGCATTGTAACAAGTGAGAACATTCTAGTATTTCTGCTCTTTTAGAGCAGCGTATGTCGTAGATCAGCATTTCTCATTCTGTAAAAATACATGAATCAAGCCATGAATTTTGCGACCAGAACCATGGGAAGAATTAAGTTCATGGACCGAGGTCCAGGCTATGACGCCTTGGTTTACAAGCTTGATTGTTTCCATGATCCTGGCTGCAAACTGAGTCAGATGAGTACTGAATCAAATGTGATTGCAGGCAGGTTCAGTGCTGTCCTTACAGGAGATTTGATTTGGTGCTCATTCAATCCAGTTTGGGATCAGAATCCGGGAGAGAATCCATTTTGTGAACTGAGGAGGCTCTGTACATGCAAGTAGATAGTATTTATTATATATAGCATACTAAATAGTAGTATATTACAGTATATTAATAATACTATGTATACTAATAGTAGTATATTACAAGTTTTTGTAATGTATGTGTAATAGTACCACAAGTTACCGGGATGCAGGCTAACGGCTAAGGCTTAAAAATCACTGGATTTCATTTAATGTGAGTGGTAAATCCTTTTTCAATAATCTTGACATATTTGATTAATCAGAGCATTGCAAACCATTTTCACTAAGAGTTTGTAATCTGGATTACTTATTCAAAGTATACATTTTTAATGGAAGATACAGATTTCTTGTATTTCTACTGATATCTGAAAGCCTTTACAAGTATTACTTCCTCTGTGAAATTTCTACGCGTGTGTGTCTTATCTCTTCTTTAAATCTCGAGGTGATTCCCATCTTTCTTTGACTATTTTGTACCCTGCCTTATAGTATGATTACTTTTAAACTTACAAGGTAAGCTTCCTGTGATTACTTGGTACTGTTTTACACTTAAATTTACACTTAAATCCCCTAAGGGGAGGAAATTTCAGTGTGAGGAACCTTATACTGGTGGCCCCACTTAGAGTCTAAAGGGTGAGACAGACACAAATCCAGTCATCAGACAGCCAGTGTCTATTGGTGGCTGAGATAAATGTCCTCAGGAGAGGAATAATACAGTTTCATGGAAGAAAAGAAAAGGGAGCCTGACATGGCATCAAGGGTCAGAGAACCCACCTCGAGGACATGGCATAGAGGTCAATGTGCTCTATAGTGGGAGTTGGAACTCAGTTTTCCCAAAAGGCTGGGGGCAGGGAAAGAGAGCCGGATCCCCCAGGAGAAGTCTTCCGGGCCTAAGATGGAACCTGCAGGAAGGCCTGCAGGGCTTCAGTGGGGAGAATTGGCTTCAGGATGGAGGACAGCAACGGTAGAGAGGTGGGTCCAGACTTGGCCCCCACAGCCTGGGACTGTCCCCTCAGCCCCCTGTGCAGGACCTGTTACCATCAACACATCTGTGCTTTGAAGGCCATGCTCCATGAGAGCAGAGCTCCGAGGGTATCGGAGAGAACAGCCAGTGGGCCTGGGCAGGATTCCAGCTGAGAGCAATTCAGACTGACAGATTCCTTCTCCTAGACTTTCAGGAGAATCCGTTTCCTCCCTGTATCATACACGCCTTTATCCATCTCTTTATTTGACGATGCACAAATGACTGCTGTGTATTATGTTTGTACACATTGGCTGCCTTCTCTTCTTCGCCCTGTATCTGTGGGTTATGCGATCCTCAAGAGTATTAGTAAATTTCCACTAGTTTTGAATTTAAATATAGATTTCCTTCTTTTCTTCAGTGAGCATCGTGCAGTCCCTCGGTGCTTACCCTCTGAACAGCAGTTGTGTGGTTCTTTCCTGGACTCTATCGCCCAGTGATTACAGTCTGATGTACTTTATTATTGAATGGAAGAATCTCGATGAAGATGATGAAATTAAATGGCTTAGAATCCCTTCAAACGTTAAGAAGTATTATATCCGCGGTAAGTTTCCTATACATCAATGTATTTCTCTCATAAACTAGTATGACACTGCAGATAAACAACTCAAGTTGTATAGCCAGTAATGAGAACTTCAAAAATATAGATGATACCAACATCTTCACACTGGTAATCCTATTACCTCGTCCAAAATTTCATTCTATTTACGTTGACATTTTTACTGTAATATTTTATACAGTTGTAATCATGTATCACATCGGGCATTTCTCCCCAGTCTTTTCTACCATTATTTTAAGTGGTCATGTCATGTCTTATTACAAAGTCTACTTAAACTTTTTTATTTGAGATTCTTTACGTTGCTTCCAACTTCACCTTTTAAAAACTGTTCTAATGGCTCCTGAGATCTATGACTAAACTGTTTCCTCAGCCACTTACAGTGTCGCCAGCAATGAGTGCTTGGCCAAAGTGTGAGGGTTTGAAGCTAAGGGTTGCCATGATCGTATCACACAACATCAGACCTGGAATGCAGCCTCGGGTCAATTTATTTATGAATTTCAAGGGAGACTGATTCATTACCACTACTGCCTACAGCACAGTCTCTGACTTTCTTTAAACCCTGGGGATATAGCAGTTAGACTTCAAGAGATCGTCCCCTGGCATAGCATTCCTATATTGTTGGCCTTTGCAAAAATCACTGCTGGATCTGTTTTGAGCCTAGCTTGCCATAGGGGTGATCGTTTTCCATGCAGGAGGACCCCTACACGTTGCAGGAGGACCCCTCTTTGCATCTTCTTTGCCTAGAATTTCACGAGACTTTAGTCTTGCAGACACCTTGATAGGGAAACTAAGTAATAAGCGTACTCCTGTAGAAAGGGATATCGTCTGTTTTGAGGATGAGGAAGGGAAGAGGGGTCACACTGTCCTGGAAAAGGAAGTGAGGGGAGGCAAAGACCTGTACAGCCTTGAACAGAACATGACTTAAAAAAAATTACACTCTTCTGTATCTGGGTTAGATTTTTGACAAATTATTTGGAAATCTGTCTCCATTTCTAGCGATTTGGGCTTAGATTAATTTTGCAGCTCCCCCATCCTCAGTTTGGTCATCAGCAGCTACTGACGTCTGTGTTTGGGTGCTTTTTAGTACACAGGCCCCCGTGAATAGTGGTTAAATGAGCTCTCACTTTTTCTCTCCTCAGATTATTTTATCCCCATTGAAAAGTATCAGTTCAGTCTGTACCCAGTATTGTTGGAAGGAGTGGGGAAGCCAAAGATACTAAATGGCTTCACCAAAGGTAACATCTTTACATTCAGTTTCCTTTTACACCTGCAGGCACTTCTTGGTTTATAAGGGAGTAATGTTGCCATTGGGTTATTATCATTTTCCTTAGGAAATCATGGAAGAGTTCCTAGGCTTGCACATTTAGGTATGTAAGGGGGGGGGGGAATCAATAGGAAATGGTTTTTTTTTTTTTTTCCTCTGAAAAGCAAGCTGGATAAACTCACGGGGCCTCTTATTATTATTTCTGATTCATCTCATTTCGTTTGGAGTGCCAAATTTTGATGCTGGTTTTTAAGTTGTCTTCAGATTCAAGCCAAGTCAAATAATGTAGCTCCAAGAGAGAACTGTCTTTGCTATAGAATAAAAATGATTGTAGAGATTATTTATATATTTTCCAACAGATACTGGTTGAACTTTGTTTGACGCACTAGAGATTGAATGGCAAGCAATCCTCCCTGGTTGCATGTTCTATTGGAAGTGGGGGCAGTAAAGTATGTAGAAAGTAACATCATTTAGGAATAAGTTCCATGAAGGAAAATACGGATAAGATGAAGTGATGGAGTTAAAATGTGGAATTTTAATTAGGAGGCCAGAAATGGTCTTTTTTGGAGCTACTTGAGCAAAGCCCCACATTCAAAAGGGCAGGTTCTTCCGGCTGAAGGGCAGCATGTGCAAAGGCCCTGGGGTGTGAGCAGGTGGCTCTCCATGTGCCAGAGTGCACAAGATGGAAACTGGCGGGTTGGGTAGGTCGGGGTCTTAGAAGCAGAGGGTGGGGTTCATCCTTGTGGCTTTACTTCACCAAGAAGGATCAGGTGAAGATACTCGACAAATCTTTATGAAAAGCTGTTTTGTTAAATTTGAAGTGGAATACTAAGCAAAGCAATCACCTCACTTCTGGGATCTTCTCTTCATTATTACAGTTTTGAATACTCGTTTATGATGAAATAAAAAAAAGCCTACCATCATTTTCGATACAGAAGGAAATGAGTGTTTTCTTAAGCTTGAGTTGTGTGAATTGTATTTCTTTTTCAGTTGATGAAAAGCACCAGAATGATGCAGGTCTCTACATAATTGTGCCGATTATTATTCCCTCTTCTGTCTTAATGCTGGGCGCACTGTTAATAGCACACCAAAGGTACTGTACTTGGTGCCAGGAATATTTACAATAAAGCCCCTGAGTGTATTTAAATCTAGACATAAAAGTCAAATTGTGAATATGCTTGTACTAAAATGTTTTTATCTGCATTCCCTGTATACTTCAGATAGCATAAACACGAGAGGGCTGTTTTCCTTTTTGATAGGACAACATAAACCTCAAGGAAGAGTTTATTCCCCCAACTCCCATGTTCATTCAGGAATGACACCCTTACAACAGGAAATCCTGGCCAGCGTGGTCTTGGATGTGGTCAAAGTGCTTGAGGTTTCTGCTGGCGACCACAGGTCTTTTGAAGTGGGCTTTAGTTTAGTAGTGACCTGGTGCAGCCGGTTTATTTCTGACCAGCAGAGACTGGCTCTAGTGGCTGGACGGGGCTGTAGCCTGCCTGGTTGTAGACACACAGCTCTGAGTCCCGAGGGTGGGCTGGGCACCATGTCCTTCTCTCTGCTGAGACATGCAGACCCAGGGAGGCCATCTGACCCATGCCGTGTCTGTAGAGATATTTGCCTTCTAGCTAAAAGGAGGGGAAGAAACTTTCAGAGTCTGACTTTATTTTTTAGTGACGTGAGTGATGGGCCATGTTTCTGACACTCACGTGATGGCCATTCTTAATATTATGTTTTCCAGGTAAAATCATGCAAAAGGTAACACAGTGCCTACACACGGCCTTCAATAAAAGTGGGCCATTTTTTTGTGATATTGATTATTAATTTGACATTGATTAATTAAGCGGGGAATTTGGTGAAATTCGTCAAAAGTGAATCTGACCTTACGGAGTTGCTGGTTTGATGGACTAATTTCTAGAGTGCATATTCATTAACTATTAATATTGTCAGTATGTATTTTTTGTGTGATTCTAATGCTGTGTTTATCCTTTGTAGAATGAAAAAGCTGTTTTGGGAAGATGTTCCAAACCCCAAGAATTGTTCATGGGCGCAAGGACTTAACTTTCAGAAGGTTACTTTTTCAGTATTTTCAACCCAGAAAAAAGAGGATTACAGTTTAGATGCCATGTGACTTCTAGGTCTTTAAACATTTTTAAGATCTAAAAGCATTTATTTTATTCATTTTAATATGAGTCCTTTTATTAATAAGATAGCAGGGATTTGTAACTAGGAAGAAACAAAATTCATTAGTTTATCATAGGGGAGCTGACAATATATATGTTTCTTCTAGTCACAATACATAATAAGATAAATGTTAGATTAGTAAGGGTCAGATCTGAGGAAGGATAGATACTGGGCTGCACTTTTTGGTACAAAGTGATTGTCTTTGGATAAGAGGATTAGAATCAATGATCTGTATTATTTAGTAACTATATTTATTTAAATCAACTTAAAATTGTATAAATCTTATTTTTAAACACTACAATCAGAAAACATGCAGTTATCCTGCTGAAGCTTGTGTCTATGCAGACAGTCCCATTCCCTGTAGAAGACCTAATAAAAGTCAGCTATAAAAATAACTTGAAATTAGTTCTATGATAGAATTTTTCAGAGAAAAAAACCTAGAGCTTGGTGATTGCTTTACTAACTTCACTTGTAACAAGGTTCACTTTCTGCCTATAAAAACTGAAAAAAAAAATCAGATTCAGTCTTTGTGTAAAACACACTATGTTTTTAAAAAGTAATTACTTGGAGGTTATGGTGTTCTTGAAGATCACATCTTTGTCATGACTCGTTCGTGAGACGCCCTCAGAGGCTGGCTGGGTCCGCAGCTCTCTCTACTCTGTCCCTCACCTGCTGTCCAGCTGTTCCTGACTTGGGCCTCAGTGGTGCTTCTCTGTCTAATTCCTCCAGCTTTGCAGCGCCTTCCTCCTCAAGGAGGAGCCTGCTCCAGGCTCTTCCTTCTGCCTGCCTTCCCAGAAAGATTTCTACCCTGCTTCTGCCTTGCTGCCCGTTGGGAGGAATTTCTTCCCTGCTGAAGTTCCTAGATCAATTTGCTGTTGGTTTATCGTGTGTAATGCTAAGGGTGAGGCCGCATTTTATCCCTCACGCATATTGGTGGAGCTCTTCTGGCTACTCAGAGCACTAGAGCCGAAGTCATTAAATATGGGCCACTGACTCTTAGCTGGAATGCCTGTTTATTATGTCTAAGTCGCTGAGATACTCCTCCATGCGTGTGGATTTTGCCTGTAATTCTCCATGCCTTGTTTCCTCTTCTGTAAAATGAGGTAAGCCATAGCATTATTGGATTGTTCTGGAGGTCACAGAAGCCAGCGCTTGTGATGCAGAAAGTTCTCAGTAAATATTAGTTGTTACTTTGTATCATGTGCATATTCGAGTTGATTAGTGTCCTTTCTCTAAGTAGGAGGGTTTTTTAGTAGGAACTACATGATGTCTAAACAAGACACTTAACGTTTCACCTCTGAATAGGTATTAGATCGGGAATGATCATTGTAGCATCTCTTAGACTCTGAAACTCTCTCCTGCCAGCATGTCACACGTTGACATCTCACCTGTGAAACTGTGAAAAAGCTTCTTGGATTTCCCCAGGCAAGGCTAGACCCACTCCAGCAAGATGCAGCTTGAACCTGCACTGATGGATTCCCTCCCATCCTCCATTCAGAAAATGCCTGGCACAGAGGAGCCTAGGCAGTGTGGGCAGTTGCACCAGGGAAATATTTGTAGACTATGTCCTACCAAAATTCTCCTTTTAACATTCCCGAAGGTGAACGTAGCTCCTTAGGGTACGTCTGCCCGGTATAATATCAAAGTAGACTGCAGTATCACCAAAATTTTCCAGATTCTGGGAAAGAAATGTGAAAAAAATTTTAAGATGTTTAATCCTTTCTTGGAAAATTGATTTTTTTAATTTCTGCAAATATTTGACTTTCTAATCCTATAAAATATTTCTAAGCCTATAAAATATTTCTAAGCTGAATGGAGGCACAAAAGCTTAGTTTATTACTAGGGCTTTGCAAGTACATTAAGAACAGATCAGTTTTGGAATATAATGAGAATATTTATGAAGTGAAGAATAGAACTTCAAAGATTTTATTAAGGCTAAAAATTGTTCTGAAAAAGATACAAACTTATTTATGATACCTGCCCTTTCCACTTCATTCTCCTGAATGGCTGAAATGTATTTTTGGAAGGGAAACTAAAGCAGGAAACCAAATATGCTAATTTTTTTAAAAGCCAGTACTTTAAGGGGTTTTTCAAAGAAAACACTTCTTTAGAACTGCTGCATGCAAGACATTGGCACACAAGGTGACACCATATGTGATTCAAAGTTTCTCCTAATGTAGTTTCCCCCGTGATCTTTTTCACATTACACTCTTTCTATAGTTTATTCTTCATCTTTTTTTTTTTTTTTTATCGGTACCGGGATCGAACTCACAACCACCTTTTAGATAAATACATAAAAATAGAATAATAGAGGGGTGGGGTGCCGCTCATGGTAGAGTGTTTTACTAGAATGTGTGTGTGTGACCGACCCCAGGACCTGCTATATAAACACAGTGTCTTAACAGTTTGCCTGTTGGTCTCATTCTTTTCATAGTAAGAGACACAGATAAAATCTGCTCTGCTTACTCCCTTTGCGGGTTCCAGCCCCTCTTCCATCCAGCTGTGCTCTGAGGCTTCCCAGGCTCACCTTTGTGTGGGCGTGGCCATGGGCAGTAACCCTTTGGGGTGTGGTCAGTGCTAGTCCACCACTTTGTTTCCAAGGACTTTTCCTGCCTGTGTTGTGGAGACGTCTCCATGGCGACAGAGTCACTGCAGCTCATCCTTCTGGACTGGTCTTTCACAAAGCAGCCTAGGAAGGCACCAGGGCTCATTCATCTGCACCTCCATGGCTGCATGCTTAAATTACCCGAGCTTTCCTTCCATCTGTAGGTCACAGACTGCTGCAGGAAGTGTGCCTGCAAATGTCTCTTTGTTACACCTAACATTTCCTACTCTGTCCAAAGAATATTCTTTGAAGACTATATTTCTTTCTTTATGAAAGAAGTACCTGTGTGTAGTTTAATAGTGAAATAGTATGAAGAACAGTTATTAAAAACCAGTGTCCTCCTCCACCTCCCCCTACTCTTAGTCTGGCTTTTCCAAGGCTCCTTCATTTTACTGTTGTGATTTTAGTTTTTCTGACAGTTTACCTTCATATTTCTAAAAAATCACAGCACTGAGCTGCTGTAAACTCTAGCTGCTGATTTCTGGCCCTCATAAACGACTTGCTCATTCAAGGACTTTTTCTCCCCTCCTTTGTCTGCTCCTATGCATTGTTTCATTGTTTTTACAATTCCTTGGTAATCTCGGGATTACGATTACTGCCGCTTCCGTCTTGTGTTCTATCAGAGAGACTTCCTTTTTGCTTTTTGTAAAATTAGTGCGCTAATTCAGTTACTTTCTTCTCCATTTCCCCCTCTGCTTTCCAATCCCTAGAAATTACTAACTACACTTTTACTAAAGTCACAGTTGGTAGCGGCCTGTGATCTATGTCATCCATGGGTTCAGTTTTAAAAATAGCAAGCTGCTGTATGGAATTTCAATCGTCAAAATTACGTAAACATTCCTTACAGAAACCGGTAATACTATGCGAATACTTTTCTTGGTGTATCCAGTGCTAAAGGAGAACTTTTTAGAAAAAGCCACTAGAAATATCCTACTCGATCAAAGTTGTGTCAGATGGCAGTTGGCTTCATCTTTTCACGAGTTTTTATCCTTTTTCTTTTGCTAAGTTTCTAGTTGCCTATCATCTGTCTACCCTTTACCCATTACCTACCATTTTTCGTCTGCCATCTCCCTGTTTATCCATCGTCCATCTGTGCACCACCTATTGTCTGTCTGTCTTTTCTATCAGCCTAACCTTTTGTGCGTTTCTGTTACATAGACTATTTTATCCAGCCCTGTCTTTCCTGGAAATTAGCCTAGCACAGTCTGTCTGGGATCCTTTCTCTGCCACCTTCAAAGCGAATTAGGCCTTCTGTGAAGGCCATAAACCCTCACTGCCACTCCAGAATGTTCCTTTAACTCATTTCTAGGCCTTGCTGCTTCCCAGCAGGCTTTTCTTTGTCTGTGCCAACTTAAGTAACCTCCTAAGAAAGCTCTGGGCTGGGCTCAGTCTCTGCATGCCTCAGATTCCTTCTGCTGCAGATTCCTATGCTGATAATTTTCTGGAGTATTGATTTGATTTGTAGTTTGAAAAAATTGTTCCAATAGAAACTTGGGGACAATTCCTTCCTTCCCTGTGTCCAGCGCTGTTGCTCAGAAGTTAGTACCCCCCCCCCCCCGCCTGCCCTGCTGACTGCGTGGTGTAGTTTTATCTTTTTAAAAACACTTTTCCATTCTTGATGTTGCTTGATTTCAGCACTGAGTCAAAGATGCTTCTTTTTTCAGTGGACGTGGTGTCATTTGAGGAGACTCAGTGTTTTCCCTTGGTGCTCTGAGAAATGCCACATGTCTTTGATTTCCTTCCTGTCTTGTCTCTTGGGTTCTCTCTTTCTCGTAGGTCTGTTTGTTTCTTTGCTGGATGTTGAGGATCTGTGTGGACTTTCTGTGCTTCATATCTCTGATCCCATGTTTTCTTTGCCTTTTTGTTTTGCATTCTGAGACCTTTCTATTCTTCTAAACCTTCATTGGAGTTTTATTTAACAGTATTATTGTAAATTTCTGAGTAATTTTTTTCAGAATATTCTGGTTTTATGTGTGTTATGGTTCTGTAGTCTTACTAGAAATGCCAATTAGAGGATTTTTTTGAAAATTTGACTTTTTTTTCTATCCCTTGAATTTTCTGTTTCTGTTGGATTAGATTATTCTCTCATCTTAACTATTTTTAAAAAAATCTTGGCCCTCCTCCAAATCTCAGGCCATCCTTTGCCTTTTATTGTTGTGTGGACTGAGAGGTAGACAGGCTTCCTGAGAGCCTGGGGCATATAGACAGGAATAGTTGTCCCAGGTGAGTGGCCTGGGCTCCGCCCCAGTGCCCAGAGGTGTGCTCTGAAGAGTGGTGTCAGCTGACAGGGTGGCTCTCTTTCTCTCTGGCTCTTTCTCAGTTGCTTTTGCAAGCAAGCTGTCCCTCCTTTTGGGTGTGGGGGCGCTTCACACACAGGGCCTCTCCAGTGTTCAGTAGAGGCACAGTCCCGCCCACCTCAGCCTCTCCTTCCCTGCTTCCTCCTGGATTCTCCTCCGTTTCCTCCCTGTCTTCTGGCTCTGCTCTGCAGGGCTGAGGACTCACTTCCTCTGCAGCTGATGCCTGCTCTGGATGCATTCTGGACTGCTCTGGACCTCCTTTGCTCATGTCTTCTGAGCTAACACTGCCCTTAACGCCCTCCATCTGTCCCAGCCGGATTTAAGCTGCTCATTCTCTGTTACCCTGCTCAGAGCATCCTCTGTGTTGTGGGTCTTTGTTTGGTTAATTCACATGCATTCACCCTAACAGCATCTGCAGGCAGGGAAAAGACGCATGTTCAGTCTGCACACAGTTTCTCTTTTACTTTAAAGATCAGAATCTTAAGACTGAATCCTTGGCACAGGAAAATGTATGGTCTCAATGGCTTTTCCCGTACTTCCATTTCACAGTATAAGAGATGACAAACCTTTCTTCTTTAGCATTTTTGCCTAACCAGTTATTTTTTTCCCTAAATCGAAATCATCTGAAGCTTTTCCCTTAGAGTTATTTTAAGACTCTTTGATCTGACTTTAATTCATTTCATTCCTTTGCATTTTGAAGGTTTTTTTACAATATTTTCTCTTATTTTTTCCCTGGTCCAACTCTATTCTCCTGTCTAAGTTTCTTACAAGTTTTCTAACAATTTAACTGAAGGGGCTGAGTAAGACTAAAGTCAAGTGGATTCTAGCTGGGGCTCTAACAGCTCCTCTGGATTGTTTATCAGCCAACATGGAGCTCATAAAGAGCTCAGCACTGTCCTCTTCAGAGCCACACGGATCCGGGTCTGGACTGGGCCTGCAGCTGTGTGGTGACCCTTGCACATATTTAGGAGATCTGGTGCGACTTGGAGTTGGACGCTCTGTTAGAAGTCGCTGATCCCTGCTGTGCTGTAAAGTGCGTGTTCCGGGCCTACAAGCATATATTTCACTGGTGTCCAAAATTAGTTCAGTTCTGTTCTTATTCCTTATCCCCCTCAGGTCATAAGGAATCAGGAGAAAATATGATTTAATCAGCTCAGTGCCATTCTAGCAAGTAGAAAAGGAATACAACAAATTCTTCTGCCCTTCTGTGTGTTTGGGATTTCTGTCATCTTTCACTGAGTTTAGAAAGATAGCGGAGCAGAAGAGAAGCACTGAGCTGGAGTCCTCACGCTGATCTGATTTGCGGTGTAACCTTACATTAAGGAAAAATCCCACCACAGAAGTTTTGTGATTCTCTTCTCCGCTACTTTAATATTTCCTTCTCTTTATTTTTAAATTTTTCTTCTCACCATTCTATCCTTTGTCTTTTTTTTCTTCCAAATGCTCCAGTATTACTGTGGTCTTGTCTCCTCTCTTCTCCCAGCTCCTTTCTTTTCTTCTGTTATTCTCCTGTGGTCTTCTGCTAGAGTAAATTCATTCTTACAGTATTACATTAAATCACAAATTTAAAAATTTCAAAAAGCCACCTTAGTATAATTTTCTTTTCCTAAAATGATACATAATAGTAGTATAACACAAGAACCTAACTTAGAGTCCAGAACCACGCCTAACAGAAATGTTTTGAAATCTTTCATCTTTTCCATCCTGTGTGACTTTTTATTTTGCTTGCTTATTTTGTTTTGTTTTATTTAAACAGAATGGACATTCTTTGAAGTCTGATCATGATCACTGCTGATGAACTCAATATGCCAGCTTCCCAACAATTCATAGCATCTCAGAAGATTTTTAAATTCTGAAGAAGGGGAACAAATCAAAAGCATAATTTTAACTATTGAGAACTAACATGTGGTGGATTATGTTTGTTTGAAATTTAAAATAGATATGTAAATTTGGGTCACAACAGAGGTTTGAATCCACTTCAGTTTGGATGTGTTATTTTCAGGCTATCTAAAATTTAAAAGTAATACTCATAATTTTGGGCTTGCTATCAATCATTTTCATAGCCATAAAAGAAAAATATTATGACTGTGTATGTTGGAACATATCTATCAGGCACCATCGTGTATCTGGTAGCGAGCGCTGTGGCCCAGCACACACTCAGGCTGACAGGTGGCTTTGCAGACAGAGGACGGAGCTGCAAGGGGCACAGAAAGTACTGCTCTATGTTTTTATGTCTCAAATTTTTCATTTTAGATCCCTGTTTAGGCACTTGAGCCTATGAACCGACCTGTTTGGGCGTTCTTTTGAATGTGTGGTAGCTTTTGTAGATGTTCTTTGGGTCAATCTGGGAATTTCAGTTTTTAATAACCTGAATAATGCCTTATGTACTAACTTTCATTGCAACCTAAAGAAAGCCAGGAGATGTGGCCTGTACTGGTCATAGACCAGTGAAAATTACAATTCCTATCAGAATAACCCTGCCTACTCAGGTTGGATTCCCCAGATCAGAAAAAAAAAAAAAAAGCATAAACTTCTGTCCACTTTGCTGGGCAGTTCTTGCCCAAATCTAATTTATTTCCACGGAACTGTCCAAAATGTTAAGCAGGTATGGAAATGTGCCATGATGCAAAGAAGAGAGAGTCTTTGGAGCTTTTACGAATAGTTCATGAGGAGGACAGGACTTTTTTTAAACTCTGAAAACAGACCACTTGCCAATTCTGTGAGTTTAGTACCCTAAGCATGCTCAGTTGTTCACAAACTAACATAGAGAGTTTGGGGATGAACCCAAATAATATTCAAATTTAGACTACCTGTGGATCACTTATATTTAGATTTTACTCATGGTTTTACTGGGATGTCTTAAAAGGTATAGGAAAGCGGGAAGAATGTACCTTTCTCCTCTTTTATTGAGTATTTACAGATGTCCTTGAAGTACAAAATCTGTGTGAAATTATGAACAGATATTCTTTAATTCTTCCCAGCTGAGTAAATATTTAATATGTGCCTAGACTGTTCTAAAATCTCAAAATATTGGATATTTGTGAAACAATTTTAACCAAACATACTTTTAGTAAAACTTATGACCCATATGTTTCAATACTGTATGGATACGTGATTCCTTAGTATTAATGAAATCTGCCATCTGAATGTGTTTTTAGAGGAGCAGTATTTGGTTCCAACAAATTAGTTACCTGCCATGAAGCTCCAGGAAACAGTGATTCTCTCAAACAAGCACGAACTTGAGGAACACAGAGAACAGGACTGCATGCGATGGGTTGTTTGATCTATTTTTGGTTTCCACATTGGTAGCATCTAATTCCTTTATTTAGGGATTTTAATTTTCAAGTTCATTTACATTTTAAGACAAGTCAGTGCATGCATGCACATACACAAACACACATGAAACCTTTAGCAAAAAACAAAATGACCAAGCAAGTATTTGAAGGAAACCACAAATCTACAGATTCTTGCTAGAAAGAAATTAAAGACAGAACAGCTTCTCTTCCTATATCATGTTGGTAGACTAATAGAAAAGGTTATATTAACACACGATTTGTCATTATGCAGTATTTTAATACCTATATGAGTTTGTTCTATTATTATTATATTTAGTGTTTGATATGTTCATTCATGGTTTTAACCACTGATACATTTCTCATAAGAGTTTGGACATGTGCTAAAAACTTGTATTTTTAAATGGAATGCACTTGCCAATGTGAGGAACAGGTGGGCGTGTCATGATCTCAGGCAGATGTGAAGTGAGTCTATTCATTTAAAAAGCGTGAAATTAAAAAGTTTAATGTATGATATACAGCACATTTTCTATAAAGCTCAATTCAGCTGTGCTAGCTTTTCACTGTGATGTATCTGTGGTGTTTTTATTTATCTTTTCAGTACATTCACACTGTATGATTTGAGCTTTCTGCATGCAGATTCTTGATTTGTACCAGCTCTGTAAGATTTTTGTTGTGATGTAACCATTCCTATAAAAACTCTAATGTGCATTTGTCTTGTGTATGTGTCTTCATTCCATGTCTGCTGCATATGTTTTTATATGAAGTTACTTACGAGGTATAGTGACTTACAGGTCTGTTACCGTTTCCATCATCATCATCGTTTTCAATAAATCAGCACCAAAGCTCTTCTTTTCCTCCAGCAGCCTCCAGCAGTTCTGAATAGTCACAATTATTTTCTCTTTGTGTCATTAAGTATCTCCAGACACATTTTGCTCATTTTATTATCTTTCAGTCTATGTTTTTTCTAGCTGGGGTTTAAATTTTCAGTTTGTGGGAATGTACTTCACTGTACCAATTATTAGGAGTTCTCTGGAGGATGACGTTCTCTGATTAACATGATGATTGTTTTTTGAAAGTTAAGCACCGTGGACACTGCCTTGTTTATTCCTAACCACACCACGGTGAAGCAGTGTTGCGCTCATTTTTACAGATGGAGCAGAGAGGTTAATGTACTTGGTCATGATGACAGAAGCAGGAGGACTCAGCCTCAGTCCATTTCATTCCACTCTTAAGCTCCCTCCCTTAAGGTTTTGATATATGTTTTAGTCCAAAAATAATTAACTAGTAGGAGGATCACACTCCTGCTTATTAGCCCTCCACACTTGCATTTCTGCGAGCATGGATTAATGAAGTAAAAATATTAATATAATCGAGCAATCCAATGTGTCTTTTCTTTTAGCCCGAAACATTTGAGCATCTTTTTACCAAGCACACAGGATCAGTGACCTTTGGTCCTCTTCTTTTGGAGCCCGAGACCATTTCTGAAGACATCAGTGTTGATACCGCATGGAAAACTCAAGAAGATGTGGAGCCAGCAACTTGGGTCTCCTTCCTTGCAACGGCACCTGACCCTGAAAAGGGGTCCACCTGCACGAGTGACCAGTGTGACAGCTCTGCCTTCTCTGCCAGGCGGGGCACCACTGTGAGCTGGGAGGAGGAGAGCCCCACACAGCCCTCCGTGAAGTACGCCATGCTGGTCAGCACCTCGAAGTCAAGTGAAACGGAGGAGGAGCCAGGGCTTCTACCTGGATCCATGGGCATGGGCTGCCCTGGCAGGAGTTCTCCAGGGAGAGACTCTCTCTCTGCTGGCTCCTGGGAGATAGAAACAGAGGCAACTTTTATCATATCAGATCAACAGCCTGACATGACTTCAGCACACCTTTCATTCTCCGAAGGACTGGACGAACTTTTGGAGCTGGAGGGAAATTTCCCTGTAGAAAGCCAGAGTGAGAAGTCTGTCTATTATTTAGGGGTCACCTCCGTCAAAGAGAGAGAGGGTGGTGTGTTTCTGACGGAGGAGTCGGGGGTGCTGAGTCCATTTCCACCCCACTGTCTATTTGCTGATATCAGGATCCTCCAGGACAGTTGCTCACACTTGGTGGAAAGTAATTTCAACTTTGGAACTTCTGGTAAGAAGACCTTTGTGTCTTACATGCCCCAATTTCAAACCTGTTCTACTCAGACTCAGAAGATAATGGAAAACAAGATGCGTGACCTGACCGTGTGAGATCATTCCAGAAACCTTCGGGTTTGTGTTCTGATGGCCACAGGAAGTGTCATGGATTCTTTTACAGCCGGGTACAGGAGAGAGAAAAAACTGTCATGGTGGAGTGTGAAAATGATTGTGTCAAAATTATGGATGTCTGTCTGTCATTAATCAAGAGGAGAGACCAATCAAAGAAATGTGAGAAAGCCTTCAGGAGCCGAGGTGGGTCTATGGACTGCTCCAAGGAGTCTATTCATACACGACCGTGGGAAAGCCTGTTTCTAGCCAGAAATATTCCCGCTTCTCAGCGAATACCTCCTTTGGAGCCTTAGACCTCTGAAGAAAGAACTAACCTCTATTTCAGCAACATCTTTAAGAGAGGGTTTCAAATCAACACCTGTGAGATAAAATTGTTATTTCAAGGGTGCATTTCCCCTTGGGTTGTCTTTGTTTTGCACTAATTCACACACCTACAAGTTTATACTTCATCCAGGTAACCTAGAACATTCTGGAAGCGTGTGATGTGTTTGTATTTTTGTAACCAGAACATTACAAAGCAGCACGAAATAGGTGTTCCATCAAATGCTGGATATAGAGCTGTGAATCCCGGCCCGAGGTTGTCCTGGTGCAGACAGACAAGCCAGCGAGCAGTCGCGTGCCAAATCTGAGTCGCTCAGCACAGGAGATTGCACGTTAGTGCGGTGTCACCCACTGCCAGGATCCGGAGGAAGAGGAAACGCACCAGTCTTAATTCTGCTCTGCAGGACACTGACAGGGCCACTGTGTGATCTCCTTGCATTGCCAGGCGTCACCGTGTCTGAGCCTGTGTGACTCACCATTGTCAGCCATGTTCTCCACCTGCACATAAACTTTCATCACTTCCTGAGCATTCTTGTTTTATAGGAAGCAGCCACTGTGCTAATACTGTAACTCAGTTACTGCAATAATCCTACGAGACATTTGTTATTGTTAGACTCCTTTTAAAGATTAGGAGATTAGATAATCTGTCCCGGGTCACAGAGTTAGTGGGGTGATAAAACCCTCTGCTGTTAAATAGTGGATTGTTATAAAAATTTAGGGAAAATTTAGACTGTCTTATACTTCAGGATGGTTAGATACTTACCTTTTCTTCCCAGGTATTCTATGAAAATAATTTAGGGGGCAAAGAGGTAAATGCAGGCTTTGGTCTTTTAAACTTATGATAAATCTGAAACTTATCTTTTTAATTTAAAGACCTTTAATGACAGCATAAGCTTCTAATCTGTCTCTTTAAATCTGAACTTTATGAAAAGAAATGCAGGTATTCATCATTCGAGTTATAGCTTCAAGTGCAAACAGATTGTTAGAAGCTAAGTTATGGGTCAGGATTTGTGGAATTTTGTTTCTCAGCTTGAAATCCTAAAGTTCAAAGATTAAAAAAAAAAAAAGGAAAAGCAAACCCACAAGACCCTGAGGCATGCTTTCCAAAGAGTAGGGGCTACTGTAGGAATCTGTGCCTTGTTTGAGGTGAGTTCCAGGTTGGCAGGAGGGCTAGGGACAGAGACCTTTTCTTTGTAAACCTAATCTTCAAATAATAGAAGGGCCTGAATGGGTCTCTCCAGCCGCAGGAGAGCCTAGACTTGGAATAAGGGTTTCTAGCCCCAGTCATTACATTCTTTTTCCAAAAAACCCGGTTTCCTTTCCAAGTATCAAACACATGGCCACATTGCTTCAGGAATACTGACCCTAACTGCCCAGAAGGCCAAGTGAGATTCCTCCTGGGGAATCCTGGCTGGCCTGTCCAGGACCCACGCCAAGCAGGAGACATCACAGACCCCAGGTTCATTGGAGAAGAAGAATCTGGGAGAGAAACTTTTCCCACATTCTATCTTGCAAGGGTCAGCTTGAGGTCACTTTCATGGACTCTTGTGAAACATTCGTTATTGAGGATACTGATTCTCAGATTTTAAAATATAAAATTAAAATTGTCCATGCTATGTTGGTCAAGGTAAGTTACATTTGGAAAAACAAAAAAGACAAATGTGGTTAGGAAAACCAGGAAGAGCTGTTTATAAGAGAGAACTAGGGCAGTCGGTGATTTCGCTTCCTGAACAACGCGTTTAAAACAGTAGAGCACCTCTGTTCCTATCCACCATGTGCAGGGAACAGCTTAAAATACAAAGTTGTAGGTTAGAACCGAGGTCTGTTCCATGCATGGTGAGCGTCAAAATGTGAATCCCTTAGGGTTTTATATTGAATGTGTTATTTTTATACGAAGTTTATCAAAATTTATTTTAGAAAGCTTCTGAAAAATGTCTATTTTTCAAAATTAATTGTGCTTAAGATGAAAGGCATTACATTTAATTTTATGAGGACCTCTGACAGATTAGTTTTCAATAACATGTTTATTCAAAAAATGTGGAGAATGCATTTGGAAGCTATTTAATTTTGTAGTGACAGACATCTATTGTAGATGACATATTTTTGAAACCTGTTTTTGAGTGTTTGGCAAACTGAACTTTCTGTTTAGTCACTGTGAGTATGGTAATAAATGTTATTTAAGTGTCAAAATATGCATCACTAATTGTTCTATAAAGTTATCCTCTTTCTCCTTTATGTACCCAGGTTCATAAAGTTTGTATGACCATATATTTTCACCTTTCATCATTATGAGGCATAAGCAATGTTATTATTTTGGGAGATGAAGGTCCAAATAGAATTATTATGAGTTAAGGTTACTTTAGGGTTATTTTATCTGCTGTATGAAGAACTGGTCCTTGTAGTCAGCTGATACGAAATTATTTTTCATCATTCCTCGATCTTGTCCTCAAAGTTCCTGCAAATACACCTCCTCGCCCTTGGCAGAGGTCGCAGGCATTTGCAGGTCCAGCTGTGTCCTCTCTGAGCTATGCAGTGGATCCCCGCAGGCTCTGCTGGCTTCCAGCCACTCGGGATGAAAGGGTATTCATTTTAACCACCAACGAAGATCGCTCGTGTTAATTAAGAGCGAGCTTTAATTTGCTTCTCTATCTCGTTAGCAAGTCCTGATGTATAGTGATCGATAAACATCCATTTTGTTTATTAGGTTTCTAGTAAACTGCATTTTTGCCACTATTTATCTAGTATGTTCGATCCTACTCGTCTTTGTGAAAATGCATGTTATTGAGGTAGTGTCTGCTTGTTATGAAATTAGTTTTTTTCCCATGATGAGTTTTCTACATAATGTGTTAAATGTACCAATTTCAATATTTTAATAGTCACATGGTATTTCACTTCTCAAAGAACAGTGACTTAATAATTCAGGATCGATGAACTTGTTTTTAATTTTGTATTTTTATGAGCAATACTAAATTGAGCGTTCTCATACAGACTTATGTCTTGGGCCTACTTTTGTACAACTACTTGTCAAGACTCTTGGTTGTGAATTAAGAAACCAACTCAAATCACACACAGTATTATACACCAAAATCCTAGCTCTCAGGAGGATCACAAATAGGAGCCCAGTCTGGGCAATTTAGCGACTTAGTAAGATCCTGTCTCAAAAAAATAAAAATAAAAAGATTGGAGATGTAGCTCAGTGCAAGGGCTTCAGGCTCAACCAGTTCTGCAAAGAGAAGGGGTGGGGGGAGAGAGAGAGAACCTCAGATTAATGAAAGTACCTTTTGGATATTTTAATTTTAACTTCAATGAATTTGAACATAGTTCCATGTGTTTAAACTTTTTGTGGTTTTCTGCCTTCATGTGGTTTGTTTAAAGTTCTGTTTGTTTACTAGAAATCTGTTGGTCTAATTCATCGTTATGCTTTGTGATTTTATTATACTTGAGATATAACACACCCTGCGAGTGCGGAAGCCTCCATTATAGCTTAGTGGACTCTTGGCACTTTGCCCCCCAAAGGTGTATGCTTTGGAATGCATGTTCCTCTGCTGGGACACAGGGTGGGTTTTTACTTCATTGTGACGGACACCGCCAGACAGTGGATGCATGAGCCCAGCTGTCCACACCATAGGACAGTGCGGCTGCTCCCCGAAGGAAGGACACCCTGACCAGTAATGGAGCCATCAGCCGTTACCCGTGGCCATTCTGATCATGTGTGTCACAGTCTCTCATGCTTTTCATTTGTATTTCTCTAATACGAGATGATTTTTGGTAATGATTCTCTTTCTGCCACGTTGGTTACTTGTATCATGTATATTTTTTTCTCTCTACTTTATTCACGCCCCAAACATTGTTATATTGAAGCCTTATGAAATCAGTAGTTTTGTTTGCTTTTGGGTGGTTTTTTTTTTTGGTACCCGAAACTGAACTCAAGACCTTGTGCTTGCCAGGGAGGCGCTGTGCCGCTCAGCCAGATCCTCAACCCAATCAGTCGTTTTTTTGAATTGGCTTTTGTGTGCTGTTTTCCCTTGCATCTCTGTTTTTCCACTTGGGGTAATATTCCTTCATCCTCACGAACTCCTTTCAGTGTGTCTGTCTGTGCAGTGATAAATTCCCTTGGGTTTTGCTTGCAGATATAACTTTACCCTGCCCCTCCCACCAGTCATGCAGAGTGCTCTTCTGGCCCTGTCTTCACTTCGGTTCCATGTGAGTCTTTCAAGCTCCAGCTCCCTGCACTGTTTTAGGAGCTCAGAAGAAGCCACTGGGCGAGGTGTCCACTTTGGTACCATCGGTGCCATGCGGCCCGTAGCTTTCCATCACATTGGGGCTGACCTGCAGCTTTTTCTGAAATGGAGAGCACTGCAGTCCCTTCTGGGAAGCATAGTCAGCAATTGGTCTCATGTTGTAGAGTGTGATGGGCCCACATGATGTTTGCCATGACCCATGCAGACCTTGAGGTTCTTGGGGTGAAGGAGAGGATGAGAAAATAAACTGGGGTTAGGGGGAGCCCTTATCTCCTGATGTGAGGCATAGTACCCTACATGCAGCTCTACCCTGCAGCATGTTTATTTATAGGCTCCAGAGAAGAATGTCAGTTTCAAGCCCGCTGCCTAGCAACTTGTCTGCCTGGCTGGCCTGGGCCCCTGTCTTCTTGGAGCTGGAACAGTTTGTGTAGGTGGCTTGTTTTGGGCTCTCTGTGTTCTCAGGGCCAGCCTTGCTTTAGCCCCACACACGTGATCAGTCTCCAGCCTCAAGGGCTCCCACAGATGTGCACTGCATTGGTCGCCTAGCCCGAGAGCTGGGCAGCTGTCAGCCAATCCCACCTTGAGTAGAAGGAAGGGAAGCCAGGGAAGAGTGCAAAGCCTTCCACAAACTGGGGCACTGAGCACAGGTCTGCGGGTCATAAGTCCACAGATACAGCCAGGGAGGCCGGGGGTTCGCTCTGCTCGCCCCTTCCTCTCCCCCCGCTGCTCCTGTGTAATGGCAGGCAGCGCTGTGTTCTGTTTTGTCAAGCTTCGCCCTTGTTGCTGGGAGGCTGAATCCAACACAAGTGCTTTGCCATGGTCACTACAGAAGTGTGAGGAATTCTTTGTATATTGCAATCTGTTCTTGCTCATACACTTGGACATTTGTCGTATTTTTCATTTCTATTTTGCCTGTAGTATCATTGCCATTAACACACTTTGCTTTCTTCCATCATTACATGTTTCCACTTCTTTATTCCCCCTGCAGCTTGCATCATATTTAGAAAAGTATTACACATTTAAACACTTGATTAATAACCAATTTTATACTATTTACTGCTATGACTTGGGGATCTGTATTTTTAATTTACTGAAACTTTATTTTAGTGTAAAAAGTAGAATCATGGCCTATCCTGTACTTTTTTCTTCAAGTGGCTGAAGTTAGTTGTCTCAACAGAATTGGATTCTAAGAAAGCAAACAAATATTCTTTTATTCCGCTCACTTAGCACTAAAAAATGCTTGCGTATTTGTGTTCATTTGGGGACTTTCTATTGTTTTTCATTGATTATTAAACCATTTTCTCCAGTACTAAATTCGTTAATTACCAAAGCTGCTTGATACATTTTGATATCTGGAGGGCTAGATTCCGTATCTTTGTCTTTATATCTAATTGATGTATTTTCCAGACCAATTTTCATTTAACCAAGTTTTTGAAAAAAAAAATTCAGTTGGCATTGCAACTGTTAAAAGCTTTGAAAAATACCACTTTTGTGTTTGTTGTCCCAAGATCATACGCCCATTTTAAGACAAACTTGGGAATGATACTGCTTACATCTTCCTAAGTAATGACCCAGAGAAATCATTCTGATCATATCTGTGATATTAATATTCCCCAGAACCCTAGTGGTGTGGTAGGTGCTGCTGTGGTCAGGGCAGCCTGCTGTCCCAAAGCCCACAGATAAAGAGGTTTGTCACTCAGTGCATTGCCTTCTTCCAGTCTGGAGGTGGGAATCCGCGCTGGGTACCCCAGTTGTGGTGGTAGGGGGCTCTTCTTCGAGGCTGTGACCCTCCGCTTCTTTCTGTGTCCTCACAGGGTGAATCGTCCGCCCTCCAGGATCATTCGTTAGAATTTCAGTGTATAAATCTGGGGGGGGGGCATAAGCCTTCAGCCACTATAGTGCTCCAAACGTCATACCTTAAACTCAGGCTCTCCACGGGGGACAGTCCGACTGGGTCTGTCCTTGACACAGCGCATACAGGGACTCCTTTCACTGGGGGGTCTTGGGGGAGGAAGCAAAACTCCACTCCTACCCTCAGAGGACTCTTGGGCGCCTTGAGACTTAAACTGACATAAGAGAGATGAATAGAAGGGAAGTGTACAGATGTAGTTCCTACATTTTCCACAGCACGGGAGCCTTGGAAGGGAGATGAAGGCTCCAAGAAGTAGTCACTGCTGCTGGACAGAGAATGGCGGGTGCAAGACGTGGACAGGTGAAGAGGTCTGGGCTGAGGGAGGTACATGGCTGGAGACAGGAGTGAGTTTTGTTTGTGTGGACTCCTTTGTCTTCAGTTTCCCGGACTTCGTGACAAGCAAGCTGCTTTCAGGGTGCAAATGTAGCTTAGGAATAGAGGGCTTGCCTTGGTGTAATTCTCAGCACCACAGAAAGAAAGAAGAACCCGAAAGAAAAAAAAAAAGAAAAAAAAAAAAAAAGGAAGGCAGAAAATAGAGAAGAGGAAGAAAGGAAATATAGAAAAAGGAAGAAAGGAAGATTTCTTTTGGAATAAGGAGGACTTTTTTCCCCCACAGGAATCTCAATACATTTTCAAAATTGGGTTAACCAGAGTGACGTTGTACCTGCTTTTCTTTTAAGCCCCCTTAATTTGAAATTGTCACTATCTGCAGCAGCTATTTTCTGGTGACATGTTCTTAACTCCTTCAGCTTACAGTGTCCAAGTTTAGACAAGAAAGTACGTGGTCATCCTAAGTATCAAGGCTTAGCCCTGCTGATGGAACTTGTTACTGCTGCTTTTATCACCTCTGCCTGCCAGGGGTCCCCAAATTTGTCCAGGCTTAGGATACCTGGAAGTCAGGGTACTCTTTAAGGACAGTAGGGAAAGTGGCTTACCTTCATCAGACCCCCTGCAAACAGCTCCCTGCTGGCCACTGGCTGTTATTTGCTTTTGATCCAGGGATGCGGTGAACACATGTTCATACAAATCTTTCCCAGTATAACATAAACAAAAAACTGCTGGAGAAGGATGTTGTTGCAATGTGCAGGTGCAGTGAAAGGGAGAGAACTCCAGAGGAGGGCACTAAGCTGGGATCCCAGGACCTCTGCGGCCGTTGTG